ATATTTTATTCTTGCTGTATCAATTATCTATTATTCTATTTTTACTATCTTTATTTTTCCGAACTTCTATTATCAACTTAAAATCTTGTTGACTATAAAAAGAGAAGCAAACTCAACTCAATAAATCATTCATTCAGTTTCAGTATCTTTTTCTTGTTTTCTTCTCTTTGTGGTCTATATCATCTTGCAATATAACATATTGGTTCCTTGGTTTTAGGAAGGTTGTTTGTCGGTTTTGGTCTCCTTATTGGTTATTACTTTTCTGTTTTGTCATTCTCTTTTCATATACCTTTCTCTCTCTCTCAATTTTAACAACAATTCTATTGGTTATTCTCTTTTTTCTTACCTGTCAACTATTGCTGTTTGCCACCTTTTACTGTATTCGTCTTCTGTTCTATTCTATTATCATTGTATTTTATTTGCTAAGTGATCCGTTATAATCTACAACAAACCTAACATATTATGCATCATATTTGACACAAGTATTGTAAAATGTTTCAGCATTGACCAAAAACGTATATTTGTTTGATGTGATGTTAACTTATGGATAGACTATTAAGTTATGAACAGTGCAAAGTTGTGACTCGATCTTTGGACACAACAAAATCTGATTTCTTGGATTTATTTTCTCTCTCTCTCTTTTTCTTTTTTTTCTTGCTATCAACATTTAAATTCCCACTAGACTTTAAATGCTTTTCCTCTTTTTTTCTATTTTTTTCTTGATTTTTATTTTCTTTTTAGCTTGCTTCCCTTTGCATTACACTTGTTCCTTTACACTTCTTAATATTACTTCTTTAGTATGCTTCCCGAGAGTTCATATTTTTTAGTAGTTTGATTATTTTTATTTTTGATTATGTCTGAAGATCTGTACACTCTTCTAAATAATCATCATTTAGCATAAGATGTATCTAAATTGTCACCTTGAACGCAGTTGTCAATTAGTATATAAGAGAGACGTTTTTATCCCAATAAAATTCATTCAGTTTTCCTCTATATTTCTTTTGAACATTATCACTGAGCTTGAGCTTTTGTCCTGTGGAAAATACTAAGTTGCATACTGTTAGGAACTACAAGTACTGTCTCACTGTTTGTCTGTGTTGTAAATGAGTATTGACTACTGCTGTAATTGAGAATAAGTCTGAAGGAAATAATATAAGGCCTCAGCTATTCCAGTCAAAGGTGTCTACCGATTACTTTATTATTTAACACACAGGTTTAGCATGCATGATAGTGATTATATTTCATATGATGATATCACTATAATATGGGATACATCAGTGAATTATTATAAGAATAATTATAACTCATAAACACATTTACTTTCGATGTTAATACTTCATTGGGACTACACACATTTATATAATTAATCATACATTAATTATCCCAAGATCACGTTGCTCTGATTAAGGCTCAGATAGGATCGATTACCTGACCCCAGTCATATAATTTTCCCAATCCAAAATAATATAAATAGCAGTAGTAGTTCAGTATAGAAACCTGGTCAAACTTTGATACAAAATCCTTTCTCAATAAATAAAACCTACACAAGTTCTCACGAATCTTTGTTTCTAATCTCAAATCTTCAATTCTTTCTCTTAAAAACTTTTTTAACTTCAACTATCACAACAGTCTGCTTGTCTGCTTGTCTGCTTGTCTGCTTGTCTGCTTGTCCGTTTGTCCATTTGTTTGTTTGTGTATCTGTTTGTTGTCCATATATTTGTTTCCATTCATTTAAAGTTCTGTTCATTATCTAAATTCCTTCTTGTTGGATTGTCCTGAGCAAAATCACAAGAATATAACTATACATATAATATATATTATATTTCTGACCAGTTGCACTACACACCATAACTCAACATGCATTACTTGCTTAGTACAGTGAGTAAAACTTTATACTTCCAATGGGAAGATTGCGGGTTCAACCTCTGGAAGCTACATATTTATCTGGGTCTATACACCTGGTTCCCTCCTTTACCCTTGCTGTCATAGTGTCACGTCATAAGTGTTAATGCCTGAGTGCAGCCATCATCCTACTGTCTTTCCTGTCTCTGCAAGCCATTGGTTCTTCTGTTTTCTGTCCAATTGAATTTTGATGCTGTTCTGATCTGGTCTAGTCTGGTTCTGGTACCCATTTCTGGTGCAATTTACAATGTCTGTCATGGGCTTAATGAAGCATGTTCTCTTCTTTATAAGTCTTTGTCAAAAATTAGTGATAACTAGAAATAATTTCCTTCTTCTTTACTTCCTCTCTTGTAATAATATTTCTTATATAAGTTCTGATGACAGCTATATGATCTATATATTGCCAACATTTAAGTCATATAATAAAAAATAATCTTTAACCTGAGCTAAAGCCGGATAGTTGATTTATTAGATTGCGCTGAACTGATAAATCAATGGCCAGGGAATATAAAAACAGGCAAAGAAGTATACTTAATAATAAAGAAGTATACTTAAAGAAGTACAATAAAACAGACAAAATAATATAGCAGATAAAAGATGATTTTATAATGAACAATTGCTATTGACATTTATACTAATTATTTGGAATGTTTGTCTTGAGGTCTTATTCAATATGATGCCTCATCTGTAAAAATGTTAATTGAATGATTGTTTCTGCTATATGAGAATGTGAGTGAGGGTCAAAGTAATTAATTACAAAAAGAGGTTCGCTTGCCCTTTCCTCTTTTTGAAACAATTGATTTGAACCTCTTCTTTTGTTTAAGCTCTAGCTTGCCAGCTACAACAGATTGTGTCGCGTGTGGTAAGTAGTTGTGTGTAGAAGATGTACAAGAAAAGATAATTGTATGTAAGAAGAGGAATTGAAAGGAGGAATTGAGGGTTTGAGTTTGATATCGGATAAATTGAGGTAATAAAATAGTCTCTTTGTTACTAAATAGACCAGTTAAAGAAATTAAAAGGGAAACTAACACTAATGTAAGAGTAAATAAATTGAATGATTAGAAAAATAGTTAAACTGAAAGAAGTGAAGAAAATAATACTAATTCTAAAGAGTTAATTATGAGAAAGAAATGTTTAATAGAGTAAAGGATTTAGCTAAAGAGAAATTTACTATAGTAAATTTACTAAGAGATAAATAAAAGGGGAAATTGAGACAAAATAATAAAATAAAAAGGGATAGTCAATCTTCCACAAAGACTTGACAGAAAAATAGATAAAACAGAAGATATTTCACAAAAGAGATCAGAGATAATAGACATCATCTTGAAGAAAACTTGTATCAGAAAAATATGACAGTTATTTATTGATTGATTTTAGAGAAATGTTTATATTATTTTATGGATAATATATATGACAAAAATAGGCTAGATAAAACTTGATGAAATAATTGTAAATAAAAATATAAAGAAAAATAACTATATAAATATTTCATTATGAAAGAAAAAATAGATGAAGTTATAATATATAACTACAAGAAAAGAAAAATATTGGAAAGAAATATGTTATAAATAAAGGGAAAAACTATTCAGTTAACAATTTTGGTAAAGTAGTATTTGAGAGGAAGCGTCACATTTAGTGCGCAGGAATAAAATAAAAAGAAAAGAGAGAAAACAATTTCGGGAAAAATAAAGGGGAAAGATTTTAATTTTCAGAAAATCGGTTTTTGGAAAAAGACAATTTTTTTGAAAATGGAAGAAAGAAATTAAAATTAAAATTAAAATTTTGAAGAAAAATTAAAAAGGGGTTTTCAAAAGAAAGCCTGAACTTGGTTGAATTTGGATTCTGAACAAAAGCCAACAAATGTATTACAACACATATAAAAATATAATGCGTGTTGAGTTATGGTGTGTGATGCAACTGGTCAGAAATATAATATATATTATATGTATAGTTATATTCTTGTGATTTTGCTCAGGACAATCTAACAAGAAGGAATTTAGACAATGAATGAGACTTGAAATAGATGGAAACAGATATATAGACAACAGTCAGACAGACAAATGGACAAAAGGACAAATGGACAGACAGACAACAGACAATGGACAAGAAGACAAATAGACAAACAGACAAACAGACAAATGGACAAATGAACAAGCAGACAAATGGTGAGACAGTACTTGTAGTTCCTAACAGTGTGCAACTTAGTATTTCCCACAGGACAAAAGCTCAAGCTCAGTGGCAATGTTCAAAAGAAATATAGAGGAAAACTGAATGAATTTTATTGGGATAAAAACGTCTCTCTTATATACTAATTGACAACTGCGTTCAAGGTGACAATCTAGATACATCTTATGCTAAATGATGATTATTTAGAAGAGTGTACAGGTTTTTGGGCATAATAGAGACGTTTGTGGACTCAGATTTGTAGAGTTGCACAGAATATTAGCTAAAAAAAGGCTTTTTTTGAAACTCAAATTTTCAACTTGTATTGCCTTATTTAGCTTATTTCCGTTACATAAAATTGTAGGACATTCATTGTAACTAAACGTACAGGCTGTCATTATCAATTGTGACTTGATATTCAGTAATAGAAACATTACCATTACTTGAAAGGGCAGCACCTTTCCCTTTTCTTTAACAAAATCTTAAAATGTCTCGTTTTGATCCTATTCTTGAACTAACAGATTGTTACATAAATCACAGCTCTTGGCATATTGCTGAAGAACAAGAGTGAGGATAGGTATCTGTTCCTGAACAGCAAGAGGAACATGCAGATGTTTACAAAGATCAAGAGCCCACCAATGAAGAAATTCAAGAAGCACTTGCTCAATATGCCCAAGAGTGTGAGCAGGAAGGGGAACACATAGCTGTCTCTTTGCATTGTCAAGGTTGCTTAGACCCAAGCACCTTGTCTGATGAAGATTCTAAACTTTTGTTTAGATTCACGCAGCCTGAGATATAATTAAATCATTGCTTTTAAGAAAAAAAGTACTAATTTAATATATTTATAAAACCAGATATGCTCCTTGGCCACTCTTCTTGAAATGGGAGACATTGTCTACTTTTGAGAAGGCACTCCAAGTGAATTTTCTCTGCCAATGACACTGGCTCTGATGATTGTGCTACACAGAATGGTTTTCCCTGCTCGCTCAGTAGATTTATCTCTGCTCTTTAGAAAGGAAAAGTCTACTCTCAGTGTCATCTTCAATGAAATGATAGAGAAGATTTATATTAAGTTATATCCAGCCTTGAAGTTTGACTACTGTCAATTCTGGGAATCAAACCTGATGCGCTTCAGCTGAGCCATTAGAGAAAGATGTAAATAACACTTGCAAAATATAATATTAGTTTAATAGTACTTACCTTTTATATATTATTTGGATAAAAGCACTGGCAATGTACTGTGTTGGGTTTATTGATGGAACCTTTAACAAGATAGCAAGGCCCATTGTTGAGCAAGAGGGAGCATACAATGGCCATTACGTGAGTGAAAGATTTGATATATAGATCTGACACATGTTTTTACTCAATTTATATACTCTTTATAGTGAGAACATGATTTGAAATACCAAGCAGTGGTAATACCCGATGATATTACTTTGTCCATTATGGGGCCAGACAGTGGTAGGAATCATGATATGCGCATGTACCACAAAAGTTAATTGGATGCCATGATGTGCGTAGCATTTGACTTTACAAGCATAAATGGTCCATGCTATTACTTGTATGGTAATTAGGCATATACTACATCAGACCATATGATGATCCCTTTCAGAAGACGTAAGTATTGTACAGTTATCTATCTCAACAGTAAAGACTTATGATTTGCATATTGTCTGTTTTAGAAATGGCTGATGAGCAAGAACTTGCTATCAACAAAAGTATGTCTGCTGTACGAATTTCCGTTGGGCATGAGTTTACTCATATCAGGAGTCTGTGGGCTTTCTTAAAGTACTCACAGACCCAAAGAAGTGGTTAGTCTCCAGTGGGACTATATTATATTGTTGGAACGTTCTTGAAGAACCTCCATGTCTGTTATAATGGAGGAAACCAGACAAGCAAAAAGTACAGTATTGCTCCTCCTATACCAGAGCAGTACATTTATGGATTATTAAACCAATAATATTTTTTTACTCCAAACTATCTATAATGTGAAGAAATTTGATGACTATTATGACATGTTTTATGTATATATATTTTTATTGTTTTTTAAGACCTTAAAGCAGTTATCTCTGCATATTGTACTTGAAACAAGCCTGTCTCTCCTCTAGCAGAGTCTGTCTCTGCTCCAGTGTTCTCTGCCTTGTCTCAATAGCCAGAAATTCTCTTTCGACATTCTCCTCCAATCTGCGCATTGAGGTAAGTACCTCACCATCACTTATTCCAGCCACCATATTGGACAATTCATCCCGAAAGGACTTCAACATTTCTCTGGCATCAGATAAGCCAGCCGTCGATTGACCAACTAGATGTCCAGAAGAACTGCCCTCTACTTTATCTGTCTATTTCTTTTGTTCAACAACTCTCAACAGATTGTTGGACTTCAATAAAGTTGCTCTCTCCACGACTTTATCTGCAGCTACCTGCTTCTGGACTTCTTCCTCAGAAGCTAATTGCTTTTTCATGGCCTTGCCCCAATCTCCTTCAGCCTCCTTTAAAAACTTATAGTATTAAACACATTGATATTCAACGAATATACCTAATACAATGTGAAGATTACCAATTCAACAAGCTGAAAAAGAAGCTGATCGAGATCAGAGTAGCTCTTGTTTGACCCTGTCATTTTTTTTCTTGGGCCTGTCTTACTTTGAACTGCTTGACCAGATTCTTGTGTCTCTGCTTGAGTGTTGAGACACTAATTTTGTTGCCTTTACCTCCAGCATCATTGATCTTTTTGAGGATTTCATCCCAGGCAGCACCTGATTGCCCATGACCAGCATATGAGGGGTGTTGGTGGATCAACAATTCCACAAGGAGTCTGTCTCTTCCAGCAATCAGATTTATCTTGTGATTAAATCTGACGGAAGCGTCTGCAGCAAAAGTATTCATATGTACGTTTATGTTTAAAACCAAGTGAAGGAAAAGTGGTAAAAATGCGTATTATGATAGTAGGATGTTTATAAAATTAAAATTAAAAGTGCCTTTTTTCGGTGTTATAATTATCAGCTTGCTATTAGTTTAGAGCAGAAAATAAACGAATATGAGAGGCTACCAATTTGAATAAGGTTTGGTAGAGTAGTGTCTCTATATAGATGTGTATGTAACATCGGGTTTTCTTTCTAAGACAATGAGCTCATGCAAAAAGTTGAAAATCTGAGTCCACAAATGTCTCTAATCACAAAAGGAAATAATCAAAAATAATCAAAAATAAAAATAATCAAACTACTAAAAAATATGAACTCTTGGGAAGCATACTAAAGAAGTAATATCAAGGAGTGTAAAGGAACAAGTGCAATGCAAAGGGAAGCAAGCTAAAAAGAAAATAAAAATCAAGAAAAAATAGAAAAAAAGAGGAAAAGCATTTAAAGTCTAGTGGGAATTTAAATGTTGATAGCAAGAAAAAAAGGAAAAAGAGAGAGAGAGAAAATAAATCCAAGAAATCAGATTTTGTTGTGTCCAAAGATCGAGTCACAACTTTGCACTGTTCATAACTTAATAGTCTGTCCATAAGTTGACGTCACATCAAACAAATATACGTTTTTGGTCAAGGCTGAAACATTTTACAACACTTGTGTCACAAGTAACGCATGTGGTGCTTGTATTTGTGGTAAATGTTGACAGGTAATGTTATCATGGTTTTTGAGGTGTGAATGAGTTTGTAGATGTAAAATAACCTCTCTTTTCCACAAGAGAGAAAAAGACAAACTCAAAAGAGAATGCAGAATTAAAGATAATAAAATCAATAAAAGAAAAATAAAAGAAAAACAGTACTATTAATCAATCTCGATAGACTTGACTCAATATACTCAGATAATCAAACAAGTAAAATATCAACAGCGTTAAATATTAAGAGAACTTGTTGTCAGAAAATAAGACAAAAAAAAATCAATGTTTTTTAAATGCAAGTATTGTGATATTTATAGTTTTGCAATTGACTTGTTGAATAATTAAATAAATAAAATTATAAAAAAAAATATATATAATAAAAGTTGTATAATCGACAATCTATTAAATGTGATTTGTTCTTTACTATCATTAAGTACAAATAAAATAAAATAATTATTGTCAAAATCATGAAGATAATTATGCTTGTAAAAATATATAATAAAAATAATATTAATTCCAAGTTGATTTGTTCAGTTAAATATAGTGAGAAAATAAGATACAATGTGTGGTTACCTGAAGTTATTGTTGACAGGATGATGCTTTTCATTGTACTTATTGGTGTTTTGCTTTACAAATAGAAAAATTGCTTTCTATTCAGCCTCAGCCGCCATTAGAAAATCAAAAAATAATAATAATAGAATATAATTTTCTAGAATTACAAAGAATTCTGCATCACTGCACTGTCAGACAACCAAAATTGTTGAGAGCTGACCATTCTTACATACCTACTTATTTCCTTGTGCGCCGAGTTTAAATTACTTGGGGGATCTACTTTTTTATGTCGCAAGGGGCTTTAAATTATAAGGATGTGTAGAAGCAGTGACAGCTTTTACTTTTGTTGTTTCTTTTGGAATCTTAATGTTTTTTTTTTACATTTTTTTTCTCTTTATCAAAACATATTATTATAGAACATAATTGTAATTTTTTATTATCTTTGTGTATTAAGATTTCTAAAGCAGGAAGAGTTTTCATTTCTAAGAGTGTCTATACAATTCATTGCTTCCCCAAGTAAATCACTAATCACTTGTAATTCGGCTTCATCAATTCCCGGAACATCCATCAACTGTTCTAAGTCTTCTCTTTGATGATGAAGTGTTGTATTCTGGGCCATGATTCTTTGCAACCAAACAGAATTGTTTCAACCACTTACAACAACTGTGTTTGTTTCATTTTCAACTTCCTCATTAACAACTGCCACTTCATGCTCAAATGCAAGCGATCTTTGCAGCTGGAGGTAGTTGTTTTCCCTTTGAACTGTATATACAAAGTCTAGACCAATAAATCTCTTTAGGAGATGTGCGTGTTTACAGGGAATTTGATGTGAAGCAAAATTGGGACAAGTGCAATTTTGTATCAAATTGTTTGATACATTAACCTGATACTATCACTGCAAAAACAGATCAATTTCGCATATGTAAAGTATACCTAAGTTCTGATAGACAGAATAGGTAAAATTGTAGTTCAGCTCACTTTTGTGAGTAAAGTATTTGAATAGTATTTTAAGCTACTCTATTGGCTACTGGCAGCTGTGTAGCATTAGAATGCAACATCAAACTCAAATAAAATAAAAGTGTGTTTTCTTTGAAGTCTCTTTCTTTACTATTAAATACTATTGTAAACCTTTCTTTTCATTTTAAAATGGCTCCTATTCGCAAACCAACTGTTAGAAAAGAGTGTCGATGCTTTATCTGTAAAAGCAAGACACTAGGATTCAATCGTGTATCTGTTAAAACATTTAAACGTCATCAAGAAAAAGATAATCATGATATTACACATGTTCAAACGCGTACGGTTAATACATTTACTTTACTTTACTTTACTTTATTTTATTTTATTTTATTTTATTTTATTTTATTTTATTTTATTTTATTTTATTTTATATCATTTCCTTTTTTATTATTTTATATAATAATAATAATAATAATAATAATACTAACACTAATAATAATAAATGTGTAGCCCATGAAGACACATGCGATACAATTAGTAGTGCTGTTTCTGAGCCTGTAAATCAAGAGGAAGATAGTTTTGAATTTGAACAGGAAGATGTTGAAATGAATTCTGAGCTTAGAAGTAAGAAAACTTATTTTATTACATTGATTTATTTGGGTCTAACATTCCGCTTTTGTAGACCTAAATGACACAAATGACATTTTGGATATATGGACAAGAAACCAACCTTTCTCTGAAACGGATTGCGTGTTTGGCTCTGAAGATAATGTCCAGTATACAAGTGACACTTACAAAGAAGAAGAAGAATATGAAGATGAATCCGATATTGAGATGGACAATGATGAAGGTAGGTACACAGCTTTAGATAATATTATATCCTAGAAAATAGAGAGTTAATCAACGTTCTTTTAAAAAAATCAAATTAAAGATTCTTTGTTGGAATCAATCTCAGAATTGAATTTGATTCACCAATTCATTGTTATTTTGGTTGCTCTTTTTGTCTCGCTATACGTTGTGGATGAAGGAGCTGTAATCCTGATTGCCATAATCAACAAGATACTGCAGTTTTTGTTTGACCCATTCTGCCTTCCAGTGAGTGTTGCTGGCCTCAAACGTTTGGCCGGATTTGAAGCGTTGACAAGTGGTGTCAAGAAGTATGTTGCATGTAGCAAATGCCATGCCATATATGATAATGAAGCCGCCCCTTTGTATTGTACATCACCCAATTTTGGTAAAACCTCCTTGTGTGGCAACAGCTTGTTTAAGTCTGGTCCCGGGTCAAAAGCACCCAAAAAGACATATGTATTCCACTCCGTCAAGAAAGCTCTAAAGACGTTTTTTCAACACCCGGATTTTGAAAACAACAATCAACTCATGGAACCACGGCCCGAAAATGGATAGCACTTTGTTTGACGTGTACAATGGTGCGATGTGGAATGAGATATTAGACGTAGATGGTATACCTTTTGTTGATACCAAGCGATCACTCATGCTCACGCTGAACATTGACTGGTTTCAGCCATTCGATGGTGTTACCTACTCCTGTGGTGCCATATATCTTGCAATCAATAATCTTCCACGCAGTGAGCGGTTCAAGAAGGAGAACGTGATTCTTGTTGGGTTAATGCCAGGGCCTAAAGAAGCAAGCACTTCTGACATAAATAACTATCTGAAACCGCTTGTGAATGAGTTGATGGAGCTGTACAAAGGTATTAAGATTAAGACTCACCAATGTCCAAATGGTACTTCTATCCAAGCAGCCCTTCTCATGGTTGCCTGTGATATACCTGCTGCAAGGAAAGTATGTGGGTTCACATCCCATACAAGTACAAATGCATGCCACAAGTGTAAGCGTCAATTTTCGAGGTTGGCTGGAACGAGTTCTGTTGATTATTCTGGATTTGATTTCTCAAAGTGGCTCCTTCGCACTAAGAATGACAATCGTAAGGATGCAGAGATCTGGAGAAATGCAACCAAACCAACTGAGAGACAGCGTCTTGAAGTTGCACATGGTGTTTGCTGGTCCGAACTGCATCATCTTCAGTACTTTGACATTGTCCGCTGCACGATCATGGATCCCATGCACAATCTTTTCTTAGGCACTGCCAAAAGAATGCTGGAGAGATGGGTTGCGGATGGATTAATTGATGATAAAAAACTCGTTGCCATGCAAAAGGCTGTTGAGAAGGTAGTGTTGCCGCCCAATTACACGTCACTTGGGACAAAGATTGCCAAGGGATTTCCCTATATGAAGGCTGATGAGTGGAAGTCTTGGTGCCTTGTGTACTCTCCTGTGGTTCTAAGGGATGTGTTGTCATTGCCAGAGTTCAAGAACTGGATAGAGTTTGTTAACGCATGCAGATACTTCACCAAGTCTAGTGTTTCTGAAGAAGACATTGAGAAAGGACACAAATGCTTAGAAGAATTCTGTAAAGGGTGTGAGACATTGTATGACCTGGACCTTCTCTCTCCCAACATGCACCTGCATCTGCACTTATGCAAAACAATGATTGACTTTGGACCCGTCTATGGCTATTGGCTTTTCAGCTTTGAAAGGTACAATAGTGTCCTGAAAAATATCAAGACCAATTGAAGAAACGGGTTTGAATCGACATTTATGAGACAGTTTATTGAAGAGTCGTGGAAGGGAGATTTTGTTCGTCGACTTCTGAAACCTATGCATGCACTTGCATGTTTTGAAATTTTCGATAAGTTCACCACCAACAACAACAACACCAACACCAACACCTACCTCTCTCACTCTTTCTCAATTTCCAAATATCTTGAAGCTTCACAGAATCTTTCAATGATAATTTGTGGAAACGAGCCCTTGCCACCATCCGCCTTGCCATTGAAAACAAGACCATTATCATTTATGCCAAAACATGACTATGATTGTCTTGTAGGATACTATCAAGCTGCGTACAAGAATCCACAGATCTCAGGTTGCAAAGATGTAATTGATGACTCACCTTTCGTCAATGACTGGATCGAAATGGTGAAGTCCGTTGATCTTCTTGGGCAAAGCTACAAAGGGTGCATTGGCACGAATGGCCGCGGATCATACATACAAGCATATTTCACTGAACGAACTGGGTCGGAACATGCATATGTTGGAGAGATTCAGTACCTTTTTGTTCACAATTTTAGGCCAACTGTTTCTTCTCTAACATACAGAAATCCCCATAGTAGTCAGCATGTATTTGCATTTGTCAAATGGTTCAAATCCACTTCGGACAAAACAAGAGAATTAGAAGGAGTTGAGTTGTTACAGGATGAATTCTACAAGCAAGATTTTCAAAGCATCCTGCCAGTACATTGGATTCTCGTAACAGTTGCAATAGTAGATTACAAAACTATAAAAAATGTCAACAAAAAACTCGCGATTCCTTTACCAAAAAAATTTACTATTAATTCTCATACACACACTTACTTATATATTTATTCTCTATTATTATTATTTCCTTTAATCAATTCAATTTCAATTATTACTATTTGGCCCTACAACAGAACATAGTAAAAAAGAAAATGTTTATTCATCGTTGATTGCCCAACGAGGCAATGACTGGGACAGGGTGGCAAGAACAGAGCAAGGCAACAATGTTGCTGGATATCTGTTCATTCTTGGCTTTGTTCCCACGCCCGCATTTAACACATGATGGGTACAATCAATGTCGTCAACCATTGTCAACAATCTGTTGAACTGTATTTATTTTTATTAGTTCTTTATTTTTCTTGTTATAAAACTTATTTATTTATTCTAAATATTATTTACCTCTTCACTTCTCCAAGTGGGGCGATCCACTTGCAAACACTGTCATGGAAGATTGTTCACAATCTCAATATCTGACTCACCATCAGACATGGCATCCTTCTGAAAGAGTTTGAGATAGGCCTTCTCAACAGGGTTTCCAGTCTTATATCCCATTGTAGCATCAATGGCTACCCAGTTGTCCATGTATGTCAACTTGCGTTGGATAGACATCTGGTTATGTGGTGATCCAGACACTCGGATGTTGGATTTATCACATATAAGAACATATTCATATTGGGATAGTGTAGTAGCTATCATCTTGTCAGTATAAAATATATATAAACGATTAAGTAATCAGCCCAATAATTATTACAGTTAGTACTGTAGATAATACCTTAAAGATTGTTAAGATAATTATATCATACTGCCGGGTAAACTGTGTCAGATGGATATGGAGCTAATTTAGTAGGAAGTCCTAAAGCTCTAGTATAAAAGAGAAAAGAATAGCTAAGAGCTAAAGAAGTACGATTTAGGACTTGATGTCATAATTGTAACACCGACACTAGTTAAGCAGTAAATACACTCTAATAACCAAATATAGTAAAGGAAGAAAGCCTTAAGAAACTAAGACGTAATAACAAGAGCAGATTGTGTTTTCTTATAAAAAGGGACACTTTTTATTTATGAATAAAGTCAACTTATATACAGTCTCAAAGTATTTCTATACGTCTCTATTATCAAATATTTTATTTTTCTATTGTTTCGTATCTGAAATATTACAGGTTATATAGATTGTAGCTTAAGAAAATAGTAATATACCAATTAATTTTTTATATAGTATATACAAACCTGAAGAGTATGACTGTTTGCTCTCCCCTTGCTGTTTTTCTTGGCCTTCTGCTCAGGAGACTCGTGAAAAGTATGATGACTGTGCTTGTACCTGTTCTTTATTTTATCACTTATCACCTGTGGGTGAGTACCAGCTAGACGAGTCTGGGCGCTAATGTAGCTCTTCAAGTAGTTGATAACAGCTACGTTATCGCGGTGGTTAATCTTCTCGTTCAAGTTCCACTTCTTCTTACTCTCGTTCTCAGCAACAAGAGCAGGGTCGTCAGACTCGAACTTCCAGTCCCACAACTTTTCTGCGAAGATTTCCTAAATACAGGTTGTTTAATAAGTTGTTGATACTAACATATATTAATATTAATTACTGAGATAATGACAGAAACCTTGGCATCACTGAGGGAGGTCTGGGGGACATAGGATGGCATCAGAGATGGTCCTAGACTAGCCATACGAGTCTGATTGTTGGCATAGGCAGTTGCAAAGTCTGCAAATGCCGTATGTGTCTTTCCAGACATGTCAACAACAACGCCCATCCTGTTTTTAAAGGCTGTCATGTTGCTATTGACAGCAGCAATGTCATCCTTGACACTGTTGATACTGTTGTTTACTTTGTTAAACATTTCAACAATTTCCGTCTATTGCTGATCTTGGATAGTTGCGGATGAGAAACTGGGGGCAATTTCTCGAGGTCCAACATGGCCAGCCAAAACACGGTTTGCAGAGATAGATATACTTGCAGATGCTTTTCCTTTTCCTTTATGGTCTGTTTTTCTGCTGCTATTGGAAGGCATTTTTCTTTATTGTATTTTTATTAAAGTTTTATAGATTAATAAATTATTAAATAAAATAAATGTATGGGTTGAAATATATTTATTTTTGTTTAATCAAAGATATACATACAAAATAAGTTAATATAAAGTAGATTTATGAAATAGCTGAGAAAAGGAAGGGATTATATATTATTTTCTATAAAATCCTTTATAACCTTGAACAACTTCTTTAATATTCAACATAGAACTTAGTGTTACAATATAATTTCGGACTATTCATTTTATTACTATTGTATTTTACTAGAGTCAATTCTCATCTAAACTGCCTTCTGTTTGAAAGCCTACTTTTTTTTCTTCTTTTTCTTTATTTTTTTCTTATTTCTTTTTTTCCTGTTTCTTTTCTGCTTTATTTACTTTTATTCTGGTTGATGTATTTGAGTTCACACCCTGGTAAGCAATTTGTTTTTATTATTCTACTGTTATATTTATTCTTAATGTTTTTTCTTTTATTATTATTGTGGTTGCTGATAATATTACAAGTCTTTGCTGTGTTGATTAATGGACAAGAACAAAAAGGTAAAACGCGGTTATTGTGTATGTGCTTCTTTATTAATTATTTTCTTTTTCTCTCCTCAGCTCATCATAAAGACATATCAACAGCAGAAATTTATCCAGTAAGTCTGAATAATGTATTTATTTATTTTATTCTTATATCTAATTTTGTTTATTTTCTATCTCTGTTAGTACTGCCAACATTTCTATGTACCTGATTGAATGGCTTGTCTTTGAAAACTGGTTTTCTTTGGTAAGTAATAAAGCCAAACTTTATTCCATGATCTTTACTAATGTGTTTTATTAAACCTTTCAGAACAACAGTCAATGTGCACTATGTCTGGTTCTGACGAAAGTACTGGTAAGTAACCATATTATTTAAATTAAAGAAAAATAAATATTTATATAATCTAATATAATTGAATAATTTTTTAGCCTTCTCTTACTAGTGAAATATCGTAAACACGCGTTTCTTTTTAGGATTCTATTGTATTGGAAGTATTTATATATTATAATATATGAAAGGGTTTGTTATTATATTAATTATGTAGTAGCTTATATATTAGATTAGACTATATATTGTCAAGCCGTACATATTATAAGCAAGAAGCTTTTTTTTTAAATAAAAACAATTTTTCCAAAACAATCCCTATAAAAATATTTGAAATGAAGTGCAAGAAGTATTGCAGTAGTATGGCATGTGTGAATCCTATAGTTTAGCCGTGCATAATTGTCTAATAAAAGTGTTTAGATTCGGAAGACAGTATACATAAATCCTGTTTCTTCTGTTAAATGATCCAATAGAATATCATTATTTCAGTAGACAGTTTTCTATCAAAAATAAATTTTTTATTGGAATCTCTGTTTCAAATCAAGTTTAATTTAATGTAACATCCAAAAAAAAAGATGCCATAATTTGATTATTCTCTCTGCGATTAAATAGTTTAAAAGAACCTTACATCTCTATATGGATCATTATAAGTTCAGAAGTTATATGGACAACTCACATGTAACATAACATATTGCGAACGGAATCTATAAATGCCAAATTCCAGAATTTAATTATTCTGTCACTCAGAATTTCCCATACTATCGCATATGTGTAGAAATCTAATTCCCTAGTGCATTGTGCTTCACCTGTAAATGACTTTACTGTCCACTTGCCGTTAGAGTCCTCCATGCTATTGCCAATCTCATTAAGAGGATTAATGATCATGAAAGAGAGCATGTCATCTTGTATGGTATTGGCAGAAAAAGAATGTCAAGCAAGTTCATTTTTAATCGGACCCATTCATCCATTTTGTATGTGGATTCGTTCCACTTCTTTGTTGTAAAAGAACTTCACATCATTTGTCAAAATAAAGACAAGACGGTTCAATCGTCTTATGTGAGTACGGCCAAAGTATATTGTTTTCAATTAGTTGTGCCACGATTTGATGTAATTGTTTATCAAATATCTTTGGTGGTCATTTACAACATATGGCCTTCCCCATCTTCTCAACAATTCTTCTGTTCCAATCCATTTACGTTCGAAATAAGCCAGGAATTGTTGCTGACTTTGTATATGAAGCCTAAACTCCTAGATTTTTCTCAAAAATTCATTCTTATCTGATTCAATAAATATATTTTTGAGATTGGCCTTGAGCTCATACTTGTATTTGCCAGGTTGTTCTGATGTGTATGAAGCATCAAGCTTTACTTTGCTGTCTAAATTATGCTGCCAGGCATGCAAAACATGAAACTCGCAGAAATGGATGATGGTCTGTGGCAATGCTGCTGTAATTGCATTAACTTCAGCAATACTACAACTGATGGTAATATATAAGGGAGTGAAACAGCTTTTCTTGCGAAGATGTACAAGTCATTGATTAATGGGGCCAACACTATGCCACTGGAAAAATAGAGTAATTTCATCTGGATAAAATGTACTAAAAATGTAGATGATTGAGCCGATATCACCACAATTTTTGTGATATATCATTTTGAGCAATGGTACAATATCATCTATGGTGCTGATGCATATCATCATAACAACAGGTACACAAAAACCCAATGTAGAATGATTGTCAGTCTGCTAACTATGGAAACCGAATAAATATTGTAGTTATGCTTTACTCCTATTGAGTCTATCTCTTTATGTGTTATATTTTGAGATCTATAAAGAGATAGTGTCCCATATTATTATTTTTACCAGGTTTTTTTATTGGCTGCGGAAATGCTTTAAAAACTATCAAAGAGATGATTGTAGATTTTTTACAATATAAAGAAATGATGATAGTTGGTTTTTTATACATGCTCAAAGTGATGAAACTAGGTTTTTTATACACACAAAAGCAATGAAACTAGGTTTTTTTACAATGGAAAAGAGAAACAAAGCATGGGTAGATTTTTATAAACAAGCCTCTTTGGTTTGTTTATTTATTTTACTTTTATTTATTTATTTTTTGGAAAAACATTGGGTTATACATTTTTTGTTCAATTTTGTTTTATTTGATAGGAAAATCTTTTCTAGATAAAAATCCTAATTTTGCAACAGTTTTGATACTATAGCTATTATAATCACTAATACTTCTTGTTTGCTATATATAATTTAAAGCCTTCCAGGAGTAGACATGGAATACATACTTTAATAGTGAGAATGCTATTAAAAAATGATTAATAGAAAAGAAGAATTAGTAAATGATTTAAATTGAAAATTTTTCATAAATACTTACAAAACGGAGAAGACTTGACATAAAATTGATATAAACATGTTCTTCAGAATTATCAAGACAATACCAGTAGTCTTTGAATAGAGATACATTTTAAAAATGAATAATTATTAATATTGTGCGTAGTAAAGATGTATTTATAAAATATATTGTAGTTAACTTACCAAATATTACTGATTATATGTCTTCCTGCATAATATCAGACATAACTAATAAATTATAATAGAAATAAATATATATTTATGAGGAAGACAAAAGAATAATTTGAATTTTTTTTAAGAAAAAAACTTACCATCATGTTCAATTAAGAGATGATGAGACTCAATGGAAATGAGTAGCAATGGCTAGACAAACAATATGATGAGTAACAAAGATCTGTAAGAGAATGATATCTTACCTTGATATATCAGACAGAGTATAGCCAAACAAAGAGACACATATTTGGTATTAAGCTATAAAAAAAAGAAAAAATTATAAGTGAAATTGTAAAAACATAAGCAAAAGAGAAACAAAGAAAATATCAATAATAAATGTTGTTAAAAGAAAAAAAAAAGAAAAAAAAAAGACTTGTCTTAAAATCCAGTTTGACTCTGACAAAATGCAGGCCGTAAAAAGTAATACTCCAAAAGAAGATGACCACCATCATCTTGAAATACTACTTTGTGCCTCATTGAATTAGAAAAGAAGTTGTCTAAATGTGGATCAAGTGGTTGGGAGATGTGCTTAAATATCAAATGAAAGGTAGAGAGTTAATCTGCACCACTTATCCTCTTTACTATTATGTGAATTTTAAATATGATATAACGAGTGTAGTGAATTGTACAATATTAGGTGAAAATTATTAATATTTATTTTATTAACAGAAAATGACAAAGCGTATTTCTACTGCTCCCCGCCGACCCAACCTATGCATGAATGCTGTTCTTAATAACACAATTGCAGGTGTTGTTGCTCCAATTGATACACCAACTCCAGAAGTAGCAGTTGACACAGCCCCTGAAGTTTAAGTTGCTGTGACCCCAATGGATTACGTCCTTACCTTGTTGGCAGTCAACAATGTGTCAATGCAATCCTTGCAAGAAAATGCAAAAGGAGTGACTGATGCAATAACTCATTTGAAGAATGGCCTGGATTTGTCCAACAAGACAAATGAATTTTTGAAGAACTCGGTCCTTCATCTCATGACTGAAAATGCTGAAATAAAAAAGGCAATGACCAGCCAAAATTCCGTGATGCCTTCTGCTGTACCAGTGGATTCTTCTTCCATGGATAATGATCTTGACCTTGGAGCAAAACATCATCCCTTGATTTCTGTAAGTAAATTGATAATAATAACATTACTGATTAATATATCTAATACTGTGTTTATAGCAACTTATCAATAGTTACATCAAGAAACCAAACTTTGTTAGCACAGACCCACTCAAAGTTGCTGAGAATAATAATAGATCAGCATGGTCAATGACTGGCACGTATGGCGACAAGTACAACAAGACACTTGCACTGGCTCTCTTCAAGTACCTGAGACCTCAAAGATGTTACACAAATGTGTCAAAGAGTGTCATTATGAATATAATAAAGAATCACTACCAAAATCAAGTGCGAGTCTTCCGGACCTCAGCAGAGAAGATTATGGCTAGAAATAAAGCTGGAAGAAGACGCAACAGAAAGAAGACCATAAGTTTTAAAATAAAGTTAATTTACTATTAATTTAATGTTTTAATACAATATTCTTTGGTAGCTTCTTGACCGTCGTATTATCACGTACCAGACATACACAGAGGCTATTCATGAGGGCATGAATCGATATGATTGCAGAAATATTCTTTCTATTGACGTGATGTCTGATGGCGAGTTGGATGGAAATAACAAAGTGCAGGCATATCGTCCCAGCTGGAGAACTGATGAGGTAATGTTAAACATCTATTTATGTTTTAAAGAAAATAATAATACTTTATTAATACTATTTATTCTTTAAACCAGCTCCAGACATTTATTAGTACTATTGATGAACTTACTGTTATCCGTTTGAAGAAAAATTCAAAAAGCTTGAAAAAGCGCATCCCTTATGAGAAAGAAGTGAGCATTCCCGAGAATTTGGCAGTCACTTTACCAGATTGGTGCTTTTCAAAATAAATCATTTTTTTCTTGCCAACTATTTTAGAGTCTTTTTTCTATTTATTTATGTTTACGGATTAGCATGATGTATACAGATGCATGTATAGCATGCCAAGTACAAACAAAAATTTATAGAAATAATAAAAAATAAACGTGCAGCTATATATATTAGTCTGTATTAATTAATATTTTTTTATACGTGTTTTATTTTTGTATTTGAATCTAAATATATATTTTTCGTGGCAAAGAAACTACACACATCTGAACTTTGCTTTCTAGACCAAGGTGCTCACCTGCTGCGACTGGATAGCAGATTCTATGCACTGGGAGAATGCTGTTCATGCTGTCATCTTCGAACCCCACCTCATTCACCTCAACTCCTTCTCCTGCTCTGGGCTGAAGTAAAACTTCCTTGTACCATCGTATATATGCAAATACATGCTGGCTCGCATGACCAGCAAACGAGTTTACAGCAGTATTGACAAAGAGGTACTGAATTTGGCCTGTGTATGGCTTGATACTTCTACCATCACTTGTCTCAAACAAGACTTGCATGAATGACCCGTGCTGATTCTTCATTTTGCTCTTGTAGATTTGCCCGAGAAGATCGATTGATTCAAACTTCTGTATCAGATTGGTAACAAAATTATTGGAATGACCAGCCTGACAATAATGAACAAGAGTTTGATCATTGTATGTCTTGCAATATTATTCCAACAAATGCTCATACTCGGATTCATCCATGGAAATCTCCCCCTTTAGAGCTAAAGGAAGTGCAGAAGGGGGCAAAGGCTTGTTTCTCTTGACAATATCAAAGTTGATCTCAGGAGAATCAAGAAAAGCATTGATATCGAATTGAATTGAGATGGCAGTGGAAGTGGAAGTGGCTATGGAATTGGCAGTGGATGCAGCGAGCTCAAGGATGATTGCCAAATGCTCAGGTCGAATTATTGACAAAGTTTGGTAAATAAGATCTCCCTGATATACTTCTTCAAGATACTTCTTCATATAGGTTCCCTCAAACCAGTCTTTTCTATTTGTTGCATAGTTTTTCAAGATATCATTGCATCTTTCGAAACTAAAAAGCCAATAGCCATAAACCGGGCCAAAGTTCAGTACAGTCTCTCGCAGATGAAGATGGAGATGCATGTTTGGCAAAAGGAATGGGGCTTTATACAACTTCTTACACTCTCTGCAAAAAGCCTCCAAAGATTGATGGGCTTCATCAAGGTGAGCCATGGATATGCTTGGCATTGAGAGGTACTGGCATGTATTGACAAACGTTGTCCAGTTACCGAGATGAGCTTCAGGTAGATGACCACGCAGGAGAACAGGAGAGTACACTAAGCACCAAGACTTCCACTCGTCGGCCTTCATGAATGGGAAGCCACGCCCGATCTTTGTCCCTAATGGCGTGTAGTCCTCTGGCAGTACAAGCTTGTCAGCATCCAACTGCATTTCGGCCAAGTGTGCATCTGTGATGAGACCTGAAGATCTCCATTTCTCCATTATCCTCTTTGCTGTTCCAAGGTACAGGTTGTGCATCGGATCGATGACAGTGCACTCCACGAGGTTAAAGTAAACCAGGTCATGCAATTCTGACCATCGGACACCATTTTCCCTCTCCAATCTCTTTCTCTGTGCATCACTGCTGGCCATTCTTCACAACTCAGCATCACGGTGGTTTTCGGCATCAGTGCGAGGCACCCACTCAGAAAACACGAACCCAGAGTAGTCCACAGCATTGGAGTCTGGAAGGCGAGGGAACTGTCAGTTGCACTTATTGCATGCACATGTGCTTGAATGAGAGGTGAACCCACAAGTCTTACGGGCAGCAGGAATGTCGCAGGCAACAAGAAGAAGGGCAGCACGGACAAGAGCACCAGATGGGCACTGTACGGTAGGCATCACCACACCGCCATACAACTGGTTGAGTTCCGCGACAAGGGGACGGAGGTAGTGATTGATCTCACTTGTCTTTGCTTCCTTGGGCCCTGGCATGAGACCAACAAGAACAACATTCTCCTTCTTGTACCGTTCCGATCTTGGCAAGTTGTTGATGCAAAGGTATATCGCACCACAGGAGTAAGTGACCCCATCGAAAGGTTGAAACCAATTGATGTTCATGGTAAGCATTATGGAGCACTCATGATTCACAAACGGTAAACCATTGCTATCCTTCAGACTGTTCCACTTCGTACCGTCGTAAATGTCAAACATCATGCCTGGAACTTGCACTTTAATTCTCCAATGGTTGATGGTGTCTTCGAATCCAGGGTGGCAAAAAAGGATAGACAATGTTTTGATTATGGAGTTATACATGTAGATCTTTTTGGGGATAGTCAAGGCTCTTGATGTTGCAAAGAAAAGAGCGTTTCCACATTCTCTACCAGAGAGTCTCTCGAAATTACAGCACTCTGGAACAACATCGGACTCTTTGTATACTTTGTTACAATCGCCACATGCAACAAACCGCTGGACACCTCGAGTCACGTCGCTGAGACCGGTCATAGAGTTGACACCACTTATACTGAGGGGAAGACGGAAAGACTGTCCAAAGTGTGCCAATACTTCGTTAAGAAACTTTAACAGAACAGCACCACCAGAATTGACAACATATTTGGATATGAAGAAGGCAGCAAAAGAAGCAATGAAAGCATGAGTAGGATTGACTGGCATATTGGATGAAGAAAAGTGCTCTATTTGAAAAAAAAATCAATACTTGTTGACTTTATTGATTTATATGTGCTTTTTGTACTAACCTCTAACATCATCAGATTCATCGTCAGAAATATCCAAAATGGTTGCTTCAATGACACCCTCATCTTCGCTTTCAGAATCAAACAAGGAATCAATGCCAAAAAGAGGTAAGTCTTCGGCTGTTTTGTTAGGTAAAAAAGAATCAAATTATTAGATATTATAAATGATTATAAAACTTTAATAAAAATACTATGCATACCTTCAACTTGATCTTCGGCATCAACATTGTATTCAAAGTCAATCTCCATGTCATTGTCATTCGACATTACTTCTATAACTGAGGCTATATTATATGAAAATAAATATTTAATTAAAATTGTCTCAATAATAATTTTCTTAAATTTGAACTTACAAGAAGATCCTGACTGATATTGTCTCACGATATCCTGTTGTGCATGTCTTCTGAGTGTTTGGGTAGACACCAAAACAAATCCCATGCTATTGGAAGAGCATTTAGAGCACTTGCATTCTGAATTGTTGTTGTTGTTTGACATATTGTGTGCGTGTGTTTTATTTTTTAAGTCTTTAGAATTGACAAGAATAGAAAATTGTTCAGGAACACAATTTAATATATATCTTTCCAAATTATACCAGCTTCCAAAATGACATAGTTTATTCCGGTTGTTAAAATGGGCAGTTCTCTAAACAGTAATTGATTGCCTCATTCTAAAATACAATAATACACGCTTTTGTTAAAACATGTTGTCATGTACATTTTATTGGCTGTAGAGCATATAAAACAAAAATATTTATAGTAATATCATGACTATTAATCTCATCATACTTATAAATAAATATTACAACAATAAAAAGCTTTATTATCTCACTCAAAAGGTATCATTTGATTTAAGTTCCCTACAACTATTAACTCTGCGAGATGGCTACAAGTCTCAAAAAGAAATCTCGCAGACATTTTTTACAAAAAAGAGTAAACTCGTTTTTTTATCCAATAAAACAGACCGAGCATTATCATTGCCGTCAAAAATAAAAAAAACAAAAGTGATGGAAATTTAAACTACCACTCCACAAATAATAGTACCCTACGTCATAGATGAAATTATCTTATTTTTTCAGTGATGATCGTTTGTAATCATGTATGTAACAGGAAACCCTTTTCCAGTATCAGGATAATGAGTAACAAGCAAGTATAATATTTCAATGTTGCGTGCAGAGATGTTGTATGTTGCATCAAGACAAAACAACTGGGAAATTCTCGTAAGCATCATTTGAGATAGTGATTGAAATCCAAACGCAAAATGCTGTGCATTGTTGCTGTATGCAGAAAGATCACCAGTAAAGATACAGTAGTTCTGTGATGGTAACTTCTCACACATCCAAATATCCAGAGACTTATTTTCATCAGGGTGAAACTTATATAGTAAATTGTTCATCTATATTTTTTATTTAACACTTTTTAAATAACTTCTCTCTTATAATATTATTCACACACCTTTCTCATTCTGTTATAGATGTCTTTATAATTGGGCTTTCTAATGCCTACACCCCACTCTTCAATTTGTTTCAAAACTGAAATTCTAGTATTTCTACAAGTGCTGCCCCCTTTTAACTGATCTTCAATAATTTTGATGACCTCAGAAGGTAAAGGCAATGTTCTAATTTCAGAAGTGTTGCCAGGAACATGGTTGGTATAATCATTGGTCATATAAATTAGAACTACTTCAGGGTTGTTGACGTATTGCTTGATAAAAATAGTGGCTTCACAATAACAAAGCTTAGTGTCTTTCTGAGCAAGACGAACATTTCTGTCTGATATATAGAATCCTGCTTGGTGACATTTTTTTGTCTCTCCATACATCAATTCTTGCACGAAGTTTTCTACATTTATTCCACTTTGTTAAACAAAGTGATTGAATACGGTCAAGGCATTGCTCCCATTCACTTGCTTTTACTTTTACTACAACATCCAAAGAAAGCATTTTTATTCTTTCTGTAGGTGAGTTGACTAAAGCATTCTGCACATTTGAAAGGTTGAATATAGTGTTGAACATTAGTAAGCTCATATTATGATAGTATATGTAATTAAAAATAAAGAGGAGAGAAGAAGAAAAAACATAGCAAAAAAATGTTTTAACAAAAGCCTCCTTGCAAAATCTCTATATGGAAAAGCCACATCCTTATAATTTAAAGCCCCTTGCAACATAAAAAAGTAGACCCCCAAGTAATTTAAACTCGGTGCGCAAGACAATACATAGGTACATTTTTACAACACCCCGTGTCACAGGCAGCTACCCGGCTTTAGCTCAGTTGGTAGAGCGGAGGACTGTAATGAGTTGTAATCCTTAGGTCACTAGTTCGAATCTGGTAAGCCGGAAACCTTTTTATATAGTTGTTGCGCTTGTCGGACATTATTTTGATGAATCCGAGAAATCGGGATAATTGACTGCAGCAGTTCTGTATGTCAAAGATACCTCATAGATAACGAACCGCAGTAATGTCTTGTAAAGATTAACCACAGTAACATCTTCTGAGCATCAACCGCAGTAAAAGGACTTCTCTTGTAATTAAATAGAGTATAATAGTTTACTGCGGATAATGCGCAGTATTAGTTTAGAAAACTATATAAGACAATTCAATTCCTATCAATAAAAGGCATCTTTGATCCTCTCTTTGATTTTACGTATACTCCTTGATCCCCAGTGGGTTTGACCTTTTGACTTTGTTATAGTAAAAGGAAGACCAACCCAGATCGGGAACGACAATTGGTAGCTGAAGCTATTTTTCCTCTAACAAGACCTTTGATGAATCCGGTTGAAAGACACCAAGACATATTTGATAAGAAGACCCTTAGCCAATTCGAGATTGAAGAACGAGTCCAGGACTTGTTACCCAGTGAATTAGTAAACGACTACAAGAAGAATCGGCATGTTCCTCATATCCCTGAAGAACAGCGTATTAAGAAGACCCCTGCCCGAGAACAGAAGTGGACCGAACTAGCCACAAAACTAGCCGCAACCTTAACAGGAAAGAACAAACAAGAACAAGAAGAAACAATGGCCCCCCAAACCGCCACTCTAACAGCCGAAGCAATTGCTGCTGCTGTCGCCGAAGCAATGAAAGCAATCACGGTGCAGCAGGAGGCCCGTGCTGAACGAATCAAGCAACCTGATTGCTTCCATGGAGAACGTTCTGCCACAGTAGTGGATGGTTGGCTGCGTGCAGTCGAACGTTACACCAGATACTACAATTTTTCTGCAACAAAAGCCTGTGAATTTGCAGTGAATCTGTTGCGTGACAGAGCAGACACATGGTGGAGACGCATGGAAGTAAAGGACAAACATCCAACAACCTGGGATGAGTTCAAGATGGCTCTGTCGGGAGAATTTCGTCCAGTCTACTCACTACAGACGTCCAGGGACCACCTTGCTCGACTATACCAAACGGGAACGGTCGCAGAGTACATCGACGCGTTCCACGACATCCAGTTGGAGTTGCCTGGAATGAACGATGAAGAAGCCCTTGACAAGTTTGTCCGCGGACTTCACCCCACCATACGAGGAAATGTTCTTGCCGCCCAACCTGTCGACGTTGACGATGCCTGCAACATCGCTTTGGCATATGCCAGTGGCCTCCACTTGGGGCAACAGAACAACTACGCACCCGTCCCCCAACCGTACCAACAGACGTACCAACAGCCGTACCAACAGCAGTACAGTGGTCCCGAGCCCATGGACCTGGATGCGATTCAAGGTCGCCGTAATAACTACCGATCTCGCCCCCCTCAGAAACGTAATGTGGCTACTTGCCATTGGTGCGGCAAAGTTGGTCACTTCAAGAGGAACTGTAGGGATCGATTAGCAGCGATTAGACAGTTAGATGAGGCACGTAGCAAGAAGCAGGGTTTTCGCGAAACACAACCGTAACGGGAGGTCGGTTGTGTTCAATGGAAGAAAAATCCTCCCCACAGGCTAATAATATTAGCGAAACTAGCGAACCAGAAATTAATAAAGACGTGTCTGAACAGTATACAAATGTTACCAATGAAGAGCCTGAGACTATGTCTGAAGAAAATTGTGACCCTTGTCTCACCGCTGACCAACATTTCTTAGAAGATCTCCATGCTGCCGTGGACACAGACTTGCCCTTATATGCCGCTATACTTGACGGACAACAAATCCTGGTGTTAATTGATAGTGGTGCTAGTGCAAACTATGTATCACCCCAGATCGCCCATTTGGCCACACACATTTTGGATATACCCGGACGATCAGTCGAAACTGCAGGAGGACACAGCATTAAGATCCATCAGAAGGCAACATTAAACCTCTCTTTAAATGGATACACTGACACCATCGATGCTTTTGTATTTCCCACTAAATTCGACTTGATTCTTGGCCGCACTTGGTTGCAAATGGCTAAACCCGTCCCAGATTGGCATGTCGATAGCTGGTCTTTACATCGTGATGAACAAGAATTTATTTTGCGTCCTCATGGGCCCCGTCCTACTAAACCTCACCTAAACTATCTGATATCTGCAAAACAAATTGAGAAACTCTCTAGGAGAGAGGAGGCCGAATGCTTTTTGTTGCACATTAAGACAGAAAAAGAAATACATAATGATGAACACTGGATGAAATTAGTAAAAGAATTCGAGGACGTTTTCCAAGACGGTTTACCTGGATTACCGCCGAACCGTGACGTCCAACACGTTATAAACACTGGAGATGCCTACCCTGTCAATAAACCGCCATTCAAAATGAGCCCTCGAGAACTCGACGAATTACAGCAACAACTAAAGGAACTTCTAGACCTCGGCTTAATTCGTCCGAGTTCTTCGCCATGGGATGCTCCAATTTTATTTGTTAAAAAGAAAAATGGTGAGATGCGCATGTGTGTTGATTACAGAGCCCTGAACAAAGTTACTATCCGCAATAACCATCCATTGCCACGCATCAATGAGTGTTTGAAACGCCTTCGTGGAGCAAACCATTTCACCAGTTTGGACCTCAAAAGCGGTTACCATCAAGTGAGAATTCAAGACTCAGATGTGCCAAAAACCGCCTTTAACACCCGATATGGCCAATACGAGTTTCTGGTTCTTCCCTTTGGTCTCACCAATGCCCCACCGACGTTTCAGCATCTTATGAACAAAGTTCTTGGAGATTGTTTGGATAAGTTTGCCTTAGTCTATTTGGATGATATCCTAATCTTTAGCACGACACCAGAAGAACACGAAGAACATGTACGACATGTGTTAAACCGACTACGTGAAGCGAAATTAATTGCCAACCTTAAAAAATGCGAATTTAACAAAAACGAACTAACTTTCCTTGGATTCAACGTATCTGCGCAAGGCATCTTACCATCGCCAGACAAAGTAAAGACTATAAAAGAATGGACACCGCCAACAAATGTATAAGAAGTTAGACAATTTATTGGCCTTGCACAGCACTACCGCCGCTTCATCCCTGGGTTTGCTGGAATCGCTGCGCCCTTAACAGACTTAACTAAAGGGACAGGACCAAAACGACAGCCTATCGTTTGGACGGAGACATGCCAGGAAAGTTTCGATTTACTAAAAGAGAAAATGAGTACTGCACCTGTATTACTTGCCCCAGACATGGATAAACCATTCCGCATTGAAACAGATGCTTCAGATTTTGGTGTTGGTGCCGTATTAATGCAAGAAGACGAAAACGGAAGTTGGAAACCATTAGCGTTCGAATCGAAAAAACTCTCCCCTGCCGAAAGATCGTATCCTGCTCAAGAGCGCGAGTTACTTGGTATTCTACATGCCTTGCATACTTGGCGCTGCATGATCGAAGGAAAACCGTTCACTGTATTCACCGATCACTTACCACTCAAGTATTTTCGCAGTCAGGTTAAGCCCATGCCTCGCCTGATAAGGTGGATTTCTGAATTCGAGCTGTACGACCCGATAATTCAATACAAACCGGGCAAAGACAATGGTGTCCCTGATGTGCTCTCTCGTCTCGATGGCCCAGAATACGATGCAACATTAATTAAATCAATGGAACCAGAATACCTGTACACCATACCAGACTCACAAACGTCCGACTGGCCAAAATTTTATGCACGAAAAGAAGATGAATGGCCAGAAGACATAAAAGAATTACTCCATCAGCAACGCAATAAGTTTGTGGTCCACGACCAAAAGGTTTTCCGTCTCGTTAAAATAGGTGACACGGTACAAGAAATTCGTTTTGCACTGTTTGCCAAGCGTGCAGACTTAGTAAATAATTTCCACAATGGTTTTGGACATGCTGGAGAAACAACGGTGTATGATTTAATGAAGAAGCGTTGGTGGTGGCCAGCCATGAGAAGTCAAATTCAAGAATGGTTATCGAAATGTCATCAATGTCAATTGGCCTCAAACGCAGAACGCAACATACACCATGCCCCTTTGGAACCATTGGATATCCCCCCTGCTTTCTCTCGTTGGCATCTCGATTTCATTGGAGAACTTCCCACTACAATCAACGGAAATCGATGGATTTTGGTTGCCGTCGACTATGCTACGAATTGGCCAATTGCACGTGCTGTTCCTGCTGCTACGGGCGAAGCCATCGCCAACTTTTTGTACGAAGAAATAGTCATGCGTTTTGGTTGCCCAGACGAAATTCTGACAGATCGTGGTGCAAACTTTATGTCACATATTTTGAGCTTTTACATTAAGAAAATTAAGCTCCATCATAAATTAACCTCAGCATTTCACCCACGTACTAATGGAAAATGTGAAAGGTTAAATGGTGTTCTTAAACAGATGTTACGTAAATATGTACATGGTGCCATTCACCGGTGGGACGAATATCTGGAAACAGCACTTTGGGCTTGCCGAATCAGAAAGCATCGTACAACTGGGTTCAGTCCATTTTTCTTGACTTATGGCCACGAACCTCGTATTCCTGGCGATCCCCTACGTCCATTTATGGATACATCTATCCCTGACGACCCGACCCTCGTATCTGATGGCGCTATCCCTTTTCTTCGTAATCTCCAACAGGCTCGCAAAAATGCTGACGCTCGAGTAACCGCCAACAGCCAACAAGACAAGGAACGATGGGATTCGATCATGAAACCTCATCAGTTCGCAATTGGTGAACATTTGTTGTTGCGGCATGAAAACAAATTTGGACTAGAATATAACTGGATGGGCCCATATATTGTAGTAGATAAAAATTTCGATAAGAATATATACAAGCTCACAACAATGGAAGGTGTCCCTTATACTTCTTGGGTTCATGCTGACCGTCTCAAAATAGCCAAATCCGACAATTTCGACTGCACCTGGTATCACCCGACCGCTGCTCGTAACAATATGCGACGTGATCTGGCCATAGATTCCTCTTCCACCTTGCCGTTCTCGATGATAGAGTCTACCAGAGTTGACCGAGGACGATCAACAGTTTCGAGAGGGGGTGATGTCGGACATTATTTTGATGAATCCGAGAAATCGGGATAATTGACCGCAGCAGTTCTGTATGTCAAAGATACCTCATAGATAACGAACCGCAGTAATGTCTTGTAAAGATTAACCACAGTAACATCTTCTGAGCATCAACCGCAGTAAAAGGACTTCTCTTGTAATTAAATAGAGTATAATAGTTTACTGCGGATAATGCGCAGTATTAGTTTAGAAAACTATATAAGACAATTCAATTCCTATCAATAAAAGGCATCTTTGATCCTCTCTTTGATTTTACGTATACTCCTTGATCCCCAGTGGGTTTGACCTTTTGACTTTGTTATAGTAAAAGGAAGACCAACCCAGATCGGGAACGACACGCTTAGTTTTGGTGGTACAAGTGTCGTTCCCGATCTGGGTTGGTCTTCCTTTTACTATAACAAAGTTGTCAGACATTATTTTGATGAATCCGAGAAATCGGGATAATTGACCGCAGCAGTTCTGTATGTCAAAGATACCTCATAGATAACGAACTGCAGTAATGTCTTGTAAAGATTAACCACAGTAACATCTTCTGAGCATTAACCGCAGTAAAAGGACTTCTCTTGTAATTAAATAGAGTATAATAGTTTACTGCGGATAATGCGCAGTATTAGTTTAGAAAACTATATAAGACAATTCAATTCCTATCAATAAAAAGGACCTTTTATCCTCTCTTCGATTTTACATATACTCTCCGATCCCCAGTGGGTTTGACCTTTTGACTTTGCTATAGTAAAAGGAAGACCATCCCAGATCAGGAACGACAAAGTCAAAAGGACAAACCCACTGGAGATCAAGGAGTATGCATAAAATCAAAGAGAGGATAAAAGATACTTTTTATTGGTATGAATTGAATTGTTTTAAATAGTTTTCTGAACTTATACTGTGTATTATCTGCAGTAGCTATTATATTATATTTAAATAAAAGAAGAGTCATTATACTATGGTTAATGCTCAGGAAGATGTTACTGCGCATAATGAGATACTGCGGTTAACCATCTTCAGATTTTACGGATTCATCAAAATAATGTCCAACACAAGTTGTTGTGTCCAAATTCTCATCAACTAATCAGAATGACAATTACACAGAATTCTCTTTTGAGAACGACAACCAAAGCAATTTCTTTTTGCTCACAAAAGAATTAGAAAGCACATAGCTTAACAAAAGTAGAATAAAAACCAAAAAAGACATTTATAATGACTGAGTAGGTTTAGAAAAGATATAAAAGAGAGCACTATTTTATTCAATAAAAGTTATCTGTCTTTCTATTCTCTTTTTATTCTTTTATCTTTATTTACAATTTCCAGTGGGTTTGACCAATTTTGGCTGTGTTATAGCATTGGAAGAACAACCCAGATTGCAAACAACAAAGTTCTAGTGACTTGTTATTATATACTGTATGTTCACTAATTATTTGCCAACTTTGAATATATTATTTACACATTGGTAAATAAATTTTCACACATTTCCTCTAATTAAATTTACACACTTTACTCAATAATAGTTCACACATTTGAATTTTATTTTCACATAAAATTATAAGGATAATATCATTTAATATTCCAAAAAATATATGAAAAAAGGTCAAGAAGTTTGATAGTTAAGGCTGATATGTTCTTCTATGACTTTTTTCTCTCACTCTAATGTTAAAAGCTATTTTTTTCAATATTCTAAAAATAATTTTATGTGAAAATAAAATCCAAATGTGTGAATTTCAGTGAAAGTAATGTGTGAATTTCAGTAGAAGTAATATGTGAATTTAATTAGAAGAAATGTGTGAAAATTTACTCACCAATGTGTGAATAATTTATTCAAAGTTGGCAAATAATTAGTGAAAATATAGTATTGTAACTCATTTTATTTTTTTGGAAATAAAAAATGGGATCCTCCAATGAAATATCTTTATTTTTACTCCGAAATTTCCAAATATAGTAGTAGCAAGTTGATTAAACTGAAAGTCAAGTTGAGAATACTATTGATTCTGCTGGAACTTTCTAGTATTATCAACTTGCGAGTTAAAATTACTGGTTTGCTCACAGTTTGATTAACTTTTAAATTAAATTTTTCTTTTTCTTTCAAAAACTTATTTATTATGTTGCCCTTGCCTACTAATATCACTGCTTTTAAGAGACGCTTTGTTAACAAGCATGATTCAGAAGAACTAGAGCATTTAATTGAGCAACAAGAAGCTGAGATTTCTAGTGGAATTCAAGTATAAACAAAACAGACAATAGATTATATGCAGAAAAATGCACACCAATATTAACAATATATCTTTATAGCCTACTAGTATTGCTGCAATTTCTGAAGAGGTGCCTAAGAAAGCTCATAGGGGTTGACCATCAAAAAGGATTATGCCAGTTGAAAATTCAACAGCTGAATCGTCCAGTTCAGCCAATTTGTCTACTTCTGTTGGCTCAAATGCCTTTGTTGCTCTTCAAAGTAGCTCGTCAATCAATGTGTCTGAGTTTGAGCTTGCACTTAAGGCTTTGCCAATGAAAGTACGTGCCAGCACTGCCACAATTTACAGAATGCCCTTAGAACATTGGAAGGTATGTCTCAACTCAATAGAATAAGAATCTATATTGTATTGATTGTATTCATTTTTTAATGTTGCTTAAATTGAAGGACTTTTGTGAAGAAAAAAACGACATAGGTATCCTGTTCATTCTCAGTACCCATATACTGTTGAGCCTACTAATTTTGTTATTGCCTTCTTCAAAGAATTTGCTCTCAAGCAAGTGTATATGAAAAGTGTTTCAGTAGACTGATGTTAGAACACAGGTTGCCTTAAGAACCAAAGATAACGAGGAAAGACAATTAACTTTGCTCCAAAATAATACAAAATTGCATGAGATACATAAAAAACCTGTCAATTATACTTAATCATCAGCCCATTTTTATAGTCGCAGAGAATGATGCTTCTAACAAGAACGGTAGTAAAAAGATCATTGAAGTCCCTTTGGGTATTGAAGCTGTCAGCCAATACAAGAAATTCTTGATATTCTTGCATGAATTTCGGTCCGAGCGTCGAGAAGGTGGATGGCCATCTCCCAAGAAAACTAAAGAAGTGATTGAATTAATCAAGAAGTATAAGTATAATCTTGTTTACGACCAAGTGCAAACAAACGTGGATAGGGCAGCCCATTGCGTGATTCAGGATTCTTATAAGTCTGACAAACTTATAAGAATCCTGAAGATCCTTTGGACTTCTGACAGCAAATCAGGCTTGCACGAGATGTTTTCTATCTCTTCCTGCCACCATATGCTACTTAAGGATCAGGATTTGAGAAATTTAAACTTTGCAGATTGCTTTTGCACGATTATTCCAAAGAAACAGCACAAAGGAATGCAACAGGCTCTTGCTTTGGTTTTTAGTCTAGACAAGGGCAAGACTCTGAAGGAAGGAGAAGTCAAATTTGCATGTGCCATGCGCCATGAAAACGTATTCAGATGTCCTTTTGGTGCATTTCCCTTTTTTATGTTCAGTTTGCTTCAAGTAGGTTGGCCAGCTAAAAAAAGAGACTTTTTTAAAATAATTTCTAACTTTCTTGATAAAAATTATAGACCAGTGGTGACTTCTTGAACGAAGACAGATGACAGAACTGGAAGGTATTGCGTGGACGTACCAGCCCTGAGAAGAGTTTAACTGGCGCTTCTTAATGGAAAACTGCAAAAAAGACACTTGCAGATGAAGATATATACACCACACGAGTAATGCATGGTGGCCATCATGCTGGGTCAATGGAAACTGAGGGCTTAGAGATATCTTTTGATCTGATCAAGCGAGGAAGAGGATGGAAGGATTGACTTGGTCATTTGGAGACCCATTACTTGGGTAAACTCCCATCTCCTTTTGCCAGAGGTATGGCTGGCTTTTGGGAAAAGCCTTTCTCACTAGCAAGAAATGGCGTGTCACCACCAATGGAATTACAAAAGATGGTATTTCCTTGGATCGAAGACTATTTTGGTGTTGGTAATGCAGAGTGGGTAGCTGTCTGTGAGAAGGAGATGAATGAAGTCGATGAGAACAAGGATGAGGATGAAAACATCATAAATTTGGAGATAGATAAAGAAGCAGATTCCGTAGAATTCGTGGAGGAAGATGGAAGATTGCAGTTGAAAGAAACAAAGAGAAAAGAAAAGCAAAGAGCAACTCAAAGCAGTATCAATACAGCAAAGCACGGATTTTTATGACTCTTGATACAATGCAGAAGAATAATCTTACAAGATGCAGCCGTTTACTTGTACTTGAACAAAGAAAACAAATACATCAACACAAGAAACCTTCCATTCTCAAGTAACAGCTTCAGAATGTTCCAAGAGGATATTGTAGCTGTCATTACCAGCCCTTCCATTGGTAGACTAGAAGAGTATGAAAGTTTTGTTCCTAGCATTGTTGATACAAACAAAGAGATAGCTAACAGAGTGACAGAAGTAAATCATCAGATCATACGATTGCAGCAACAACAAGACAGTTGATTTGAGAAAAATGAAAACTCTTTCAACAACTTCATTGAACAAAGTAACCAGCAGAATTGACTTCTGATGAACATGACACAGCAACTGGCTAAGGATATAAAAATCCTCATGATTCAGCAACAGTGTTTAAATTCACAAATGCAATTACTCATGGCTATCAACAATGCTTCTCAAAGCGTAAATACCAATGCCAGCTTGTCTCAACTGCCTATCTTTCCTGTTCTTTCTACTACTCATTCAACGTCACCTTTTCCTTTCTCTACCTCTGCTCCTTTTACTCTTCCACCTACTCAGCAACCAATTGCTATAAGTGCTGCCCCACCTTCACTCAATTCAAATAGACACCCCATTGTTTTGTCAAAGCTCAAAGCCAAGAAAAAGGCTAGATGAGTTAGCTACGAGCCTAGCAATTAAAAATACTCTTTTTTAAAAGCCGTGATATATATACTACCATATATCTGTTATTCATTATTCTTATCTGTTACTATTCTTTATCATATTATTTATTCATCTTATTCTTTATCAGCTACAATACATTTTAATAAAAAATTAAATATATATATTTACACAATTATGCATTTCGTATAAGTCATTTTAAAAGATGTTGAAGTAAGAAAGACAATATAAAATAAATAGAGTTGATGAATAAAGTATCATATAAACCATGTAGTAGTATAAGATAAACATACTTTACCTCTGGCGTCTGATATGACACTCAAGATTTGCATTTCAAGAAGACTTTCATGGGTAAAAAACCCAACATTTTTCCCAGTATGAGATTTCAGTATGGATATATTTTTCTCCTAAAAAGGAAAAACTTCTATTTTAAGTAATTTTTCAACTGTCTGGGCCTATAGGTCAGAGAATTTTTTTATTGGCTGTCCATACTAGAATAAGTTTAGTTTTTATACCATTACAGTATGTCAAGTCTTGACTGGACCTATCTTTCTATCATTTTAAATTGTATAAGTTTTGATAATATATCAAGTCTCTATCTGATATTTCTATTCTGACACTTATAACTAAGTCGCAGAATCAAAATCACTGGGGATTGTCAAGTTTATGAATAGTTTTTAGATAGAAAATAAAGATGATTTTCATTAATTATATTTTTTGACTATTTATATAAGATGATGTTTGATTTTTGACTAAAAGAATACAGTAGTCCCTTGATAATTTCATGCTTCGATAATTTCAAGACTCTGAAGACCCAACTTGAAAAATAGGCTAAACTTTCACAATTCTTATTAATTTCACTTTCACAATAATTTTTGGCCTTGAATCCTTAAAGATTTTTTAGCCAATCAGATGAGAGCAATATAGTTAAAGTTTGCTTTATAAATATTTAATTTAAAACTTTTACAATTTAGTAATAGATATTAATGTCAAGTGCATTATTTTTCATATCAAATACTAGATTATCAAGTTGTCATCTAGCTCCATTTATTTTTTCAGAAATAAAATAAAACTATGTGCTATTTATTGATAAGACTCTATTTATAAATTGTTTAGTAACGATTATTTACTTGAAAAAATATATATTTAATTCTAACATTTTGGAAATAAAAGTTTTTGTTTTGTATTATATTATTACTGTCTGCTATTATTATCTATTGTGACTATTTATTATTATTTACAAATATATTACAAAGTTAAGCTTTAACTATATTCAACTTCTAACTTTCTTTTTTATTTTTAAATAAATTAAAATGTATTTGTTATAAAAATAGTTCCTATTTTATTTTATAAGAAATATATCTTAAAAAGACTTAAAAAAGCTGATAACTTTTATTTGCTTTGAGTGCACAGTTTTCTGATATTTATTGCAGAGGCCTTCAATGATATTGACAAAGTCTCTATCAATATCTTTGTCTTCTAAAATATTTAAAAGTGTAAATGCACTTAACTTTTTCTGAAGCAGAGTAGATTTTCTTAAGAGAAACATATAAATCTATTTCAGTAATAAAAATGAAAGAGTTTTACTAGTAGCCTTTTGACAATCTAACTAGTAAATAGTTCAGAGCTTTCTTTAAATATCTTATTATGTCTCATAACAAATGCTAATCAATAATGATATTTTTTGAAAGCTGTTGACAAAAAAACGTAATTAATAACTTATAATATGCTAGTTTCTTTTATTTATTAAATAATATTTTAAATATCACTCATCTTTAGTGAAAAATATATACTACAGACTCGTTAATTACACTCTTCAATAATTTCAAGGCAACTGGCCCTCTCTAGGCCTTAAAATTATTGAGGGACTACTATATGTATAATAACATGACATAGATGTTTATTGTCCAGTAATATCTTCTATAAGTATATTTACCATCTTAAACATCTAAAACATATGTAAGAGACCAATTGGCAATGTCAAGAGCTTTTATTCTAAAGTCAATCATTACTGATTGCTTACAATTTCCAATTTTGGTTACCAATGTCAACTCTAACAAATATTTCAAGTCTCAATCCAGTACAGTTAGCAGAAGAAATTTGCACCTCTAAATTAAATAGTTACATTTTTGTAAAAATATAATATCTTTCTTTCACTTTTACATTAATATTACAAACCAAAATGAATCAAAGTAAATGCATCAAGAAGAAGCCTAAGGTCCAGACTACTGTAAAAAACATATTGATAATACTACCACTATAAGAAATGACATAATTTGAAACACAGCTCTTACAACTTCTGTTTGGCCAATAGAAATATAGTATTTAACTATTAGTGTCACGTATTTAAACAAGCAGAGAGTATATATTTTTAGATTTATAAACCTTACTTAAATAATCTTTACCTATTATATTATTATACTAAACCCTTTAGGGAGAATACTAATAAATCATTTATTGATCTAAAACAAATTATTTATTGGTCTCAAAGTTGCATTATGTCATGGCAAGATATGTCTTATATTTGAAAAAAATATTGATTGAAACAACAGAAAAACAATGGAAGAAGTGAAGAAAAAAAGTATCTGCTTTATATTTATTATATTTATAAATTTACAGCATCCATTTCCACTCTAGAAGATTGTTGGATCTATAATATAAATAAAATGTTAATTATGCTTAAAATTATATATGCATTCAATCTTTAACAACATACCTCTTAATTACGTCTTGATATCATTACAGCAGACCTCCACTTCTGAGACAAAATATAATATGCTGCCCAAGATTCTTGAAATCTGTTCAAGGCAATATGTCTCTGGGCAGTCATTTCTTCGAGATTTTTAATAAGTACTTCCTTTTGCTGAGAGGAAATACTGCCCCATATTGGAAAACTTCTTTTATTCTTGCAGTAGTTGTTAAAAGCACTCTTTATCATTTGGCGGGCCATTCTCACTGCAAAAGAAGAGCCAATTCAGTATACTAAATCTTGACCAAATACTGTCTGAATGAATAAAATTCAGCATGAATTCGATCGGAATTTATGATGTCAATTTTTTAAAATTTGTGAGCTAAATGGATACAATTAGTAGACTGAATTTTAGGAACGCAAAAAGAAAAAGTGTGATATACTTTTATGTGATATATTTTGGCTGTAAAAATATAGACGCACTTTTGTCAGATCGCAGATTTTTCATTCTATATTGGTTTTGGAGTTTTTTTTTAAATACAGCGCATAACATTCAACATCTTTTTATTACTATATATGGGTTGTTAAAGAAGAGATTTGGTCAAGATTTGGTCAAGATTTAGTCAAGATTTAGAGATTTATAGGTCATTTTAAAAGTTTTTATTGGTTTGAAAATTTTTTCTTATTGTTTCTAGATATTTCTATTTGTCTACATCACTAATCGTCTCCTGTTGCAATTGGGTAGAAACATCACACTCATGATGCCGTCATTTATTTTAGTGAATATTGTATTATTCCTTTTGTATATCCATTGGTCCACCCCTGGTGTAATCGACCCCTACTATATTCCATTGCTTGCTACAGCACGGTTTCTTGGCCTGTTTGTTTACTTTTATAAAAAATAATTATAGAATGGATTAGAAAGAATGTTCTTGATATATTTATTTGAGAACAACAGATTATTTAAAAAATATAAATGTACTTACAATAAAGTTAAACATAAGAACAGATAGATGTCTTTAACATAAAGATAGATATATCAACATTTTAGTTAAATGTCTCTGTTGTGGTGGTTGAAGTTTTTAAGAAGTTGTAAAAGGAAGAATTCAAGATTTGAAATGAGGAACCAAGATTTGTGAGAACTTGTGTAGGTTTTGTTTATTGAGAAAAAATTTTGTATCAAAGTTTGACCAGGTTCCTACACTGAACTACTACTGCTATTTATATTATTTTGGATTAGGAAAATTATATGACTGGGGTCAGGTAATCAATCCTATCAGAGCCTTTATCAGAGCAACGTGATCTTGGGATAATTAATATATAATTAACTATATAAATATATGTAGTCCCAATGAAGTATTAACATTGAAAGTAAATGTGTTTATGAGTTATAATTATGCTTATAATAATCCACTGATGTATCCCATATTATGATGATATCATCATATGAAATATAATCACTATCATGCATGCTAAACCTGTGTGTTAAATAATAAAGTAATTGGTAGACACCTTTGACTGGAATAGCTGAGGCCTTATATTATTTTCTTCAGACTTATTCTCAATTACAGCAGTAGTCAACACTCATTTACAACAGTTTCAATTATAGTAATATTGTCTATAAAAATAATAACTTTTGTTAATATGATGCAAAGTAAATAAGACTATGGTTTGCTTACCAGACAGTTCAGAAAACAGAAGAGTTGACAAACAGAAAATACAATGACATTGTCTATAAAATATAATCTTTTATTAGAATGAAATAAAGAGTATCAGACTATTTTTTGCTTACCAATTATTCAATATAGTAGAAGAGGCAGCATGCGGGAAATGGAGATATTATCTATAAAATAATTTCTTTTCATTAGAATTACATACAAAGAAGTAGAATGATTATTTACTTACTTGTCTGTCTGTAGAGAATAAGAGTCGGTGTATAATCAAAAAAAGAGGACCGAGATAAAGACCAGTGACTATAGAGTGTATGGTATACATAAGAAAAATAATAAATACAAGTTGTATCTTGAAGGTGTCGTTAATATTTATATAACATACCATTTTGTAAACCCTCCCAAGGTATATGTCTTTGTTAACGGGCCAGAAAAATCTAAGCAGAATAATTAATACATAAATCGTGAATAAATATTCAAGTATATTTTTATTACCTTTTTATCATTATTTTTGAGGCAGTTAAGAAGGACTTAATAGTTTAAAGCATAGTGTATCATGCTAGAATAAAAACAACAAGATGACTAAGTCTTGAAACTTTGATGTGAGTTGATGCTTACCATGTTAGACATTAAGAAAGAAGTAAAGAAGAAGAAAGAAAAAATTTAAAAAAAACGGGGAAATTCAAAATTATAATTTTATGACCGTTGACCCTGAGAAACTGATAGAATCAATTGAGCAAATTGAAAGTCATTCAACCCATCCCAATTGAGACAAGACATTACGTACTAAACCATAATCTCTCACATCTTTGTAATGGATGTAAGCTATTACAATTGCCTTTTCAAGTCGGCTTATAAAGAAAAGTATAATATAGAGATCAAAATGCTATAAAGAGCATCATCAGAAAAATAATCTTTTGGTGCCTTACTTTCCACCTTACGTATGTTTTGATTTATTTTATTATTTTAAAGAAACCCGACTCTAATTATTAAAGTATTCACATTGTTTCCATTTCTTTAATTAGCCTTAAATATCTCAATTCATGTCTTCTAATACGCAGCAATCCAAAAAAAAACGAAAAAGACGACTACAAAAAAGTCTGTTCAACAAACCGCTGGGACAGCAGCAAGCACAAGACAACAGGAAATTCTTCCCAGCTTAACAGTTAGCGCAGAGCTAGATGGTACTGTCCTGTCCACTTTGTCCAACATGAGCACCCGACTGAATGAATCTCATTCACTTCTGCAGAAGGTCTACCACAACATGGGAGCAACCAATGGCCAGAATAACAATTCGAACCATAGTCCCATTGGTCAGGCTCTTACTACAGGAGAATATATAAAGTACCACCTTCCAACAGTTTCGGTAGGATATATACTAGTAATAGAATATTGCAAAGTTACTTACATTATATTTTGCAGAGATTGATCCATTCTCAAACACAAGCAGTTCTGGCAACAATGCCATTGACAGTCAATGAGGGCGCCTTCTCGACATCCAACCGTCCCATTGCTGATGTAGTGCAGAGCTACACACATCAGCAAGCTGAAGTAAAGTCTGTTTTGTCTGCAGTTGTGGAAGAGAAAACCCAAAGACATATTTCGTATATGCTTCAAAGGGCAAAAGCTTTGCCAGAAAAGATAGCTCGACAAAATCGGATTTCTTGATGCCGGTCCAGAAAGAGAAACATAAGTATAGTCAACAGTTTTTGTGTAAACTATTTTAACTTTTTTTTTTCAGATTCTTGCAGACTACAAAGCAATTCACTTAGCTGACAAGGCAAACCTTGAGTCTAAGTTTGGTGAGACTGTCGTTGACCTTCTGGACTATGACATGTTGTCTGATATTGAGTCAGATGAGGAGAAAAATAAAACTAAATATACTCCTAGAAATAGACATCCCTTGGTAAGACTCTCATGATAAAAGTTATTTTTTTTAATACTTCTAACTCAAAAGTATTTATATTATAATGCAGGTGGATGAATACTTTACTGTTTTGAAGAAACAGAGACTTGCTAACAAGAGACCAGACGTCATTGGCAATTCTGTCTATCCAATTATTTTGAGAAACACCGAGTTATCGAATGAGAAAAAGGCACATGTTGCTGCTTGGATTCACACACGCCAACAATAAATTGTTATTTTGTTTACAAAGTGCATATAGTACTTTAATAATTTTTATTGATTGTGTTGAATGATGTGGGGTGAAGTGGTAAAATATAATCAGGCGGTATTGTCAAGATGAGAAGCAATTAATATATAAATAAAAGGAAAAAGAAAAAGACAAAATCAAAAATCAAAAAAATAAATTATTATTTTATTTTATTTTATTTTATTTTAAAGCCAATTAATAAAAAAAATATATATACAAAGCAATTATTTAATTATATAACCCTGATTGTTTTATCCTCGTTTTTTTTATTGGAAATTATAATACCGATATTAGCAAGAATATGTAATAAAGGCTAAGAAAATGGTAAATGTCAGGTATTAAATATACAAGTTTTTTTGTCTTTTATATTATTGATAAAAGCAAGAGAAATAAATAATGGTTTTTACTATTCGTTAATAGTTAAAAAAACTGGTAATATAATTTACTATTGCTCTTTTAAATACTTAATAAAGAAGTAATGTTAAAACTAAATAAGAATACAGAGATAAATAAAGCTAAACCTTTTTATAGTCAAAAAAACTCGTATTATAATTATTTATACTGGTAATCTAAATAGTTGTTATTTTTTTTTGTTTTTTATGTGACTACTTTTATAGGCAGTAGAATAACCAGGTGCTTTTGCATCCCACTCTGCATTTTATGCGTAGTCAATGCAAAGCACGAATGCAGATGATGCACTGGAACAATGCACAAAGCATCTTCTTCCATAAATCCCTTGTCCCACAACTGCAGACCTTGATCAGCTAATGGCTGATTACCACTCGAATGGTAGGTGGGAAACCATTTAATGAATGCGAACGTTGACACTCTTTTGACTCCACCAATCTTGATGGTATGAGTAAATAAATACTCTATTTGACCAGGGAATTCAGATACATCGTCATTTGTTCTCTCAAGAAACAATACCCTCACAAAAGACCCGCGCTTCTTCTTTTCACCACTGCAGTACTCTTGCCCCAGCAACGAAATCTTCTTCACCTTTTGAATCCGATTGTTCACAAATACATCCTCACCAATTGGGATTCTCCCAACCACACAGAAGGAAACACTTGTACTCCGGTAAGCCTTGACATAGAATTCAAATAACCACTGATAGTGATCATCCTTCATCATAGTCAAAGGCTGCAACTTGATTGGCAATGTGGTCGGGGGCAAGGCCTCACTTCCGGTGACATTGTACCATGGATTGGTAGCAGCTTGCTGGAACATTGCTAAGCTAAATGGCAACGCAGGAGGGTGGCCAGCATCCAAATTCAAGGGAGAAGAGCTGTCGGAATTTGATTTTACTTGGGCAACCCCCTCAAGGAACTCTATTAGTGATGATGAAAGATTGGTAGAATACGCTCGAAGAAAGCTACCAATGAATGCTTTCTCCAGGAAGACTCTCATGAAGGTGACCTCAAGACCATTGCGACGGTTTGTCTTGATGTTCTTCAACTTGCTGTTGTATCTCTCAAAGCTATACAGCCAGAATGCGTATACCAGACCAAAGTTGAGCATTGACTCACGCAAATGCATATGCAAGTGCATATTTGGCGTGATGCTGCTCTCTCCATAAAGAGTCTCACACTCTTTTCCAAATTCTCTAAGGAGCTGGTGTGCGCTGTCAATTTCTGAATATGTGACTGAAGGACTGGTCAACTTTTGGCATGCTTTTACAAAGAGAGTCCAGTTTTTGTAGTCGTCTTCAGGCAAAGCGTCTTTTAGTACCACCAACGAATAAATCAGACACCACGATTGCCACTCGTCTGCCTTCATATACGGGAAACCAGATTTGATCTTTGTTGATAAAACGGCATACCCAGGAGGAACAAGAATACCATCGGCAAGACGTTGCATACGGACGAGAACAGCAGTTGGGAGATACCTCAGGTCTTTCCAAACACTGATCATACGCTTTGCTGTCCCAAGAAACAAATTGTGCATGGGATCAACAATCGTGCATCGGATGGGATCAAAGTAGTGTAGGCGATGCAACTCGGAAAAATGGGTGCCATGCTGCTTCTCCAAAACAGCTCTCTCTGCATCAGATTCTGTGCAGAACCACATCTCAGCTTTGGTTGCATTTTCCTCTTTTGTTCGGGAGACCCAGTTCTCATGATCGAATCCAGAATAATTGATCTTACTTGTTCCAGCAACAACAGTGAAATGACGCTTGCATATGTGACAGGCGTTTGTACTTGCAAATCCTGTAAATCCAGCAGTCTTTCTTGCAGCAGGTATGTCGCAAGCAACACACATAAGAGCAGTGCAGATACTAGTACCATTGGGGAACTCTGGAGTTTTCATAGTTATGCTGCCGTATAACTCTACCAGCTCGTCTACCAGAGGTTTCAAGAAGTTGTTCATCTGGTCGATCTTTGCTTCCTTTGGACCAGGCATGACACCGACAAGGATAATGTTTTCTGGCTTCATTCTTTCTTCCCTAGGCAGGTTGTTCATTGACAGGTACAAGGCCCCACTTGCATGTGTACGACCCTCGAACGGTTGAAACCAATCCACATTCAATGTCAACATCAAAGAATGGTCGTGATTCACAAAAGGCTTGTCATCTTCATCAAGGAGCTCAGACCACATTGCACCATCATAGACGTCCAACAAGGTACTGCTTACAGTTTCCCTTGATCTCCATTGAACGATTTGATGCTCAAACCCAGGTTTGGCGAAATGCTGTGCCAATGCATTCTTGAGTGAGTTGTATGGGAAAACCATGAGAGGGACGGCGCGATCAGCTTTGGTGTCAGAGAAAAGAGGATTTCCGCAGTATGTTGGTGGTGTGGTTGTGTATTTTTCAAATATGCAATTTGGTTGGCGATTGCCTGGTAGGTAAATTGCAAAGCACTTGTTGCAGACGGTGTATTTGACGATGCTTTTTGTCATGAAATTGAAGCCGGTCATAGTCTTTAATGCATCAATGGTGAGTGGGAGATCAGTATCCTTATCAAAGGCAACAAGAAGATGGTGGAAGAATTTCAACATAGCAGTTCCAGCTGCTTGAACCAAGTAAAACGCCTGAAATATAATGCCAAATAGAGCCATGAATTGGCTTGTTTGAGACATTTCATGAATTTTCAAAGAAGCAACTACAAAGGCAAGTATTTCTGTTAATTATTTGTAACACAATGTATGTATATTTCTTTTTTAAATGTATGCATACCGAAAGCAACCATGTCTTCAAAATCTTCAACACCAGCAACCTCAACTTCGCTCTCATCTTCAGACTCATTGCTTGAATCAGGATTGTCATTGTCAGAAGCCAATGATGTTGTCTTGACATCAGACTCTTCGAATTGAAAAATCTCGTCTTCTCTCAAAAAAGGTACACTCTGTATGGTAGTTTCAGCTGATACAATAGAATAATTGTCTTCATCTATAGTAAAACCAGACTATTAGCTATCTAAATTATGATTTATTAAAAAGAAATTTTATACTCACAATCAATCAATGTTTCAGATACATCTACCATCTCAACGTCTGTCTCTTCTTTGACAACTTCTGTATTAACTGATAATTAACAAAAAAAAATATTAGATTACAATTTATCCAGTAATGCACATACTACTCAAATGTCATTTACCTCGATTTTTTGGGCCAATGTCTAATAACTTATCAGCATTATTATGATGCTTAAAGGTCTGTGCATTTTGCAAAATTCTGCCAATTGCATTTTTGGTACATGATGAACATGTACACATAACAGTGTAGGTTTTAGTTGTAGAATTCATAACAGTAAGAATAATATTAATAATAGTAAAATAATAAAGAGGTGTATACTATATTTTATTTTCATCTTTTATATGTCTTTTATTTTTGTTATTAATAATGAGTTGATATATCTTGTTCACTATGTCATTGACTACATTGAGCTTACCGTCCCTATTAGTAAGAATTACAAATGGATTTTGATGCAGCAATCTTTTCTTAAAAAAAGTGTGCCTGATTATTAATGGGGCTTCAATTTAATAATCACTGATATAATGGTGTAGTTTTTCTCTTTCGCATTTTTTTAACATGACATCAATTCTCACTCATTTTGGCAAGTGACCTTTTTTGGATTTTCTTTTTCTTGTATTTTTTATGACATCAATTCTTGCTCTTTTTTTCAATTTTTTTTGATATACTTTCTTATTAAAAATAAGTCATATATCATACATTATTATATTCTAATAAAAATCGGTATTTTTTGCGATGCAATAAAAATAATATTGAGTCTAAATTAGGTGCATCTGTAACAGCAAGTTTTTCCTTCCAGAAAAATAATTAAATACTACATTTAACATTTAATATTTTACTTTTATTTTTTATTTTTCTGCCAAGTCAATCGAAACATATATTTTTTAAGACAATTGTACGATTTATTACCTAATTAATAAATATTTGTGTTTGTATCTGTGTTTATTTAATATAATCAGAAAAAATTGCGAATTCACATCTCAAGAAAAAAATATATTGAAAAACGATGGTGTTTGAAATATTTTTCCAAATTTTGCCAAAATTCAAAAAATAAAATTCGACAGAATCCACCCTCCTTTTGCAATGTCTGTTGTGAGCATTGTCTGACTTCTTTTTAGCCTGAGACTTATTAGCTGCACGTTTTCTGCTAGTGAAGTTCGTGTAGACAAAGTCACGAACATCACTTTTTCTCAGTCCTGCTCCTACAAAATTTCTTTCCAAGTAGGCAACAAGGTTTTCTGTCAACTCAGTGTTTGGCGACTGGTTGAAGTTGACAGCCGTGTTCTACCTTGGCTTGCCATTGTTGGCTTGAATTTCAGTCAAATGTTTTGACTTGAACTTAGGGTCTCACAAATGCTCCCGAAGAAGTCTTTATTGAATCTTGGTAAGTTATTAAAGATATAATTTACTATATGTATGATACATACATAGGCTTTTGTTTTGTTGACTGATTTTGCATCAGAAGCCATAGTGGGAGAACCAGCTACATTCATTTCCATGCTCACAGGAGCAACAGCATGCACTAAAGCCATCGGCTGACTCTGCAAAACAGCAGATACAGAAGTGTTCGAAGTTTTTGCTTTGATATCAGCAACGTCTTTCATGACAGTGGTCATGTCACGACGCAAGATGGCAAGAGAGTTTGTCATCTCTCTCAGCAGGAGTGCGTCAAGTGGGATAGCTTTCATTTTGGTTAGACATATTCTATTAATTTAAAAATATAAGTTCAAATATGTATTAACTGTAAATGCTTTTATATTCTTTGAATAAATTTCTATTATACACTACAATTATATTTATTATCAAACATACCAAAATAAAAGACAGAAAAAGATGGGAAGATAGAGAGAGAAAGTGTGAGTATAAGTAAGAATAATTGTAAGAGTGCGTGAGCAAGGGTGAGTAAGATTGTAGCAAAAACATATATTTATATTTCCAAAAAAAAAGATATCTAGTCTTGATTGATCTTGGTTAAAAGAATATATCTAAAGTAACTTCTTGTATACACACTGTGTAAATTGATACAAAGATTGCTTTTAGATACTACACCATTATATCTATTATGCTTTTTGGATATTTTTTTTTGAGTTTCATTTTTTTTAATTATCTATTTTGTTTTTTTTGTATTTTATTTACTTATTTTTTTTATTTTTCCATATTTTTCCATATTTTTCCTTATCGACCATTTTCTTTTCTTTTCTTTCTCTTTCTGATTTTTGTTATAACTGTGAATTTTACTGGTAAGATACATTCTTCTTAAAAATACTTCTGTACAGACAACAACAAGATTAACACATTCTGTTGTCATAGATACATATATACTCTCTTAGTGTTTTACTATATTTGCAAACTTTTTTGGTAACATATCTTCTTTTTTTTTAAAGCAATTCTTTTCTTCAAATATAACTAAATAATAATTATTATTTCAGTTGTCATAGATACTAGCGTGTTTTTTCCTTCTGATGTATTCTCTTTACAATGGCCATCCGGATTAGTCCAGGTTAGTAACTATACTTCATGTCATCATCATATAAAATTATTCTGACTTTTCTCCTTCTTTTTTATAGACAATATCGCCAAAAATATTCCCTACAATTAAACAAGACCATCAACACGGTAATATTTTATTTTTTATTTACTTTTAATATGTATCTGACAGAATATAATTTTTATTACAGATGAATGTTTATCTGCCAAACACGCAATGAATCAAGAACCTCTATCTCTTGGCGCCATCATTGACATGGTAAGACTTCTTCTTTTATTCTCTTAATATGTATGATAGTATTATTTATACTGTATATTAATATATGTTTTTTACTAAAGGTTATATCAACTCTTGACAAGTACTATCTAGGTCTACAAATAAATTGACTTTCTTTGGGTACGTTCATTACATATTCTGTCACCCAATTCACTCAAACTAACTTCTCTATATTATTTTCATTGTTAAAGAAATTATACTTGACGCCATGCCTCAAACTCTCAAAGTTTTATTTTTATCTTCTTCAGTCATTATATTGTATGTATCCTCAAATTAATATATCACTCACAACATGTAAATATTTAAATACACATCTAACTTCTCTTCTATTATGTTAAATAGTATCTGTGCCAAAGATAACTACTGAATATGAGGGTTTACAAACATTATATATAAAGCACTGCTTGATTTGAGTCATATGAAGGATACCAGTGAAGATGGCCCGAGGCCTATAATATTATTCCAATACTATCAATCTAGAATCATTCTATTTTTTCTAATAAATACAAAAATAAACTATAATTCAAACCAATAATAATTGAATATCAAGTAATTGGGGGAGCAGATAATCTATGACCTCATAATAAAGAGTGTTAATAATTAGCTTATAAGCAATAAAATGTCTATGGTTCTAACTATTCACCCAGGGATAGTTCAACAATACACATGCGACGTAGTCCCTGATTATTAACCTTTAACATAGAAACATTGTATTACAACAAAAAACAAAGTTTGAAATAAAGTTTTCTTGGTACTCTATTATATACAAAGATATAAAATTACTATTGATCCCAACTTCACTAGTGTTATCAAACTTTACACTCGTAGATAGCAGGTCTGTGCACATGTAACCAGATCAGCTTTGGTACCAGTGGAAATAGGCAAAACCCACTATAAAATGCGGAATATTCACAATAGTTTGCCTGAAATTCCCCGTGTGTATTTATTGTTATTTTTCCAGTGTTAGTGTTGTTGATGTTGCTCATCTTAGAATGTCAAAAAAAATTATGCACTGATGTTGTAGTAAAAAAAGGGCAGTGATTTTATTGGCAAACTAAAGAATATTTTGTATAGTCCACTCTCCTGCATCTACCCAAAAAAAATGACTATTTGTCTAAATATGTGAAGTAAGTTTAATAACATATATCCAGGCTGTCCTGCCAATACGACATTTGCCCAAACACGTGACTGGGTGACGTAATACACTCTCAGGCTGTCCTTCCAGACTGTTCCATCAGATTGTCCATAAGCTTTCCCTAACTTAATAGTTTGTCCATAAGTTGATATCACACCACACAAATATATGCTTTTAAATTGCTGCTACAATATCTTACATCACTTATGCAATTATGATGCGTGTGGTACTTTGTTATGTGCATGGTGTGTACAAGAAAAGCAAGGTAAGGGTAGTAATAAGAATTGAATTCTGTAATGAGATAGGATTATTTATATTGGGAAATGATTATATAAAAATATAGACTAAATAGGAGAAACTACTTCTAGAAGAGAAAAATAGAAGGAATTTCAGAAGGAAAAGAATATCTAGAACTAGCAAAAAGAAATAAATACAGTCAAAGTTCAGTATAGTGATATTTGATATAGTGATAATTGCAATATAGTGATAATTTTTTGGAAAATTTGGGCCCATGCCTGCTTATTATTACTATTTTTTGATATAGTGATAGGAATAAAATTCGACTTCACTAGTATCACTATATCAAGCTCTGAGTTTATTTTTGTACTATAAAAAATAAATGTAGTATATATTTTATTTAGCATTTTAAAGCAAGTCCACTTTCTTAAACAAAAAACTATGAAACCTATTAGAAAATAGTAGTCACTTACAGCAGCATTAGAAATATTGTTAAAAAATACGTTGAGTAAGAAAAAATTATGCTCGATATAGTGATAGTGATAAAATTTCTATTCACCGTCTATATCACTATATCGAGCTTTGACTGTAATACTAATGTAAAATAAACTAAGTTAAGGGAAGTATTTAGAGAATAAAAAATTGAAAATTAACTAAAAGAAATTCTGAGATAATTTTAAAATGAAAAATAATAGAAAAATAATAGAAAATAGTCAATCTTCCACAAAGACTTGACAAAGAAAAACAGTAAATAGAAAAAAAAATTACAAGAGAGATCAGGGAAAGTAGACAGTGTCTGTTGTAAAAAAGTATTGACTACTGCTGTAATTAAGAATAAGTCTGAAGGAAAAAATATAAGGCCTCAGCTATTCCAGTCAAAGGTGTCTACCAATTACTTTATTATTTAACACACAGATTTAGCATGCATGATAGTGATTATATTTCATATGATGATATCACCATAACATGGGATACATCAGTGGATTATTATAAGCATAATTATAACTCATAAACACATTTACTTTCGATGTTAATACTTCATTGGGACTACACACATTTATATAATTAATCATACATTAATTATCCCAAGATCACGTTGCTCTGATTAAGGCTCAGATAGGATTGATTATCTGACCCCAGTCATATAATTTTCCCAATCCAAAACAATATAAATAGCAGGAGTAGTTCAGTGTAGGAACCTGGTCAAACTTTGATACAAAATCTTTCTCAATAAACAAAACCTACACAAGTTCTCACGAATCTTCGTTCCTAATCTCAAATTTTCAATTCTTCCTCTTAAAAACTTCTTCAATTTCAATCATCACAACAGAAAGAATAAAAGAAGAAAAATTTATTTTCAGAAAATTGGTAGAAGAATAAAAATAAAAATAATGAGAAGTCAAATTTTTAGAATAAGAAATAAAAATAATATAAATAAAATTAAAATATAAAATTATAATTGGGGGTTTGAGACTTTGAGACTCATTAAAAAAGCTGAAATTGATTGAAAAAAGGACTGGTACTATGGGTAATAAAAGTCACAACGCATCACGTCAATCTTTTGCATATAGTATTTGGTTGTGTGTAGAAGATGTATAAAAAAGATAAATGTATGTAAAAAGAAAAATTAAGAAGAGAAATTGAATAATTGGGTTTGATATCTGATATATTGAAGTAAGAAAATAGTCTCTTTGTTATGAAATAGATCAGTAAAAGAAATTAGAAGAGAAAATAACACTAAGATAAGAGTGTAAATAATTTGAATGATTAGAGAAATAGTTAAACTAAAAGAAAAGAAGTAAGTAATATTAATTCTAAAAAGTTAACTGCAGAAAGGAAAATGTTTACTAGAGTAAAAGATTTAATTAAAGAGAAATTTACTATGGCAAATTTACTAAAAGATAAATAAAAGAGAAAATCGAGACAAAATAATAAAATAAAAGGGGATGATCTATCTTCCACGAAGACTTGACAGAAAAATAAATATATTGGAAGAAATTTCACAAGAGAGATCAGAGATAATAGACAGTGTCTTAAAGAAAACTTGTATCAGAAAAATTTGACAGTTGTTTATTGATTGATTTTAAAGAGATATTAATACTACTTTATGAATAAAATATATGGCAAAAATAGCTAGATAAAACTCAATGAAATAATCGTAAATAAAAATATAAAGAAAAATAATTATATAAATATTTCAACATAAAAGAAGAAATAGATGAAGTTATAATATATATCTACAAGAAAAAAAATATCAAAAAGAAGTATTTTATAAATAAAGGGAAAAACTATTTAGTTAACAATTTTGGTAAAGTAGTATTGGAGAGGAAGAGTCACATTTAATGTGCAGGAATAAAATAAAAAGAAAAGGGAGAAAACAATTTTGGGAAAAATAAAGGGAAAAGATTTTAATATTCAGAAAATCGGTTTTTGAAAAAAGACGATTTTGTGAAAATAGAAAAAAGAAATTAAAATTTTGAACAAAAATTAAAAGGGGTTTTCAGAAGAATGTCTGAACTTGTACTATATAAAATGAATTACAAGTATTTTTTTATACTCGTAACTTTCTGCCCAAAACTTGTAACTCAAAAAGTCCAACATATACTTACTAAGTTTGGTATGTACTAAACCTATTTTAGTATGCGGAAGCTGATATTCAAACAGGATTGTCTTACTTTTAAGCCAGAAGGTCATTTTAGATAAATATAGTATGTGAAACTGCTTATCAGACTGCAAAACTGGGAAAAGAGCAAACATGACCTACAGATTACTAATATTTTTAATATGAACTTAAAGAAGTCTTTGCCACCAAAAAGTAATGACTGTAACTACTTTTTAATGCATTGTTATTTTTTTATTTTGTAAATTTTTTTTTAATTCTATATTTTCACAAGATCTAAATTATTAGAGACCTTGGACACATCATATAAAATTTATTTAGATGGAAATTGTGCTCTTAAAAACGTATAGTGTGTTTCAAAATCACGTTATTTTATATGATATGAAAACATGATATAGAATGTGTTGACCAATCATCTTTTGATATTTTATCACTGGAAAAATAGGGTAATTTCATCTATGGCGTAGGGTACTATTATTTGTGGAGTGGTAGCTTAAATTTCCATCACTTTTGTCTTTTTTATTTTTGATGGCAATGATAATGCTCGGTCTGTTTTATTGGATAAAAAAACGAGTTTACTCTTTTTTGTAAAAAATGTCTGCAAGATTTCTTTTTGGGACTTGTAGCCATGTCGCAGAGTCAATAGTTGTAGGAAACTTAAACCAAATGATATCTTTTGAGTGAGATAATAAAGCTTTTTATTGTTGTAATATTTATTTATAAGTATGATGAGGTTAATGGTCGTGATATTACTACAAATATTTTTGTTGTATATGCTCTACAGCCAATAAAATGTACATGACGACATGTTTTAACAAAAGCGTGTATTATTGTATTTTAGAATGAGGCAATTAATTACTGTTTAGAGAACTGCCTATTTTAACAACCGGAATAAACTATGTCATTTTGGAAGCTGGTATAATTTGGAAAGATATATATTAAATTGTGTTCCTGAACAATTTTCTATTCTTGTCAATTCTAAAGACTTAAAAAATAAAACATACGCACACAATATGTCAAACAACAGCAACAATTCAGAATGCAAGTGCTCTAAATGCTCTTCTAATAGCATGGGATTTGTTTTGATGTCTACCCAAACACTCAGAAGACATGCACAACAGGATATCGTGAGACAATATCAGTCAGGATCTTCTTGTAAGTTCAAATTTAAGAAAATTATTATTGAGACAATTTTAATTAAATATTTATTTTCATATAATATAGCCTCAGTTATAGAAGTAATGTCGAATGACAATGACATGGAGATTGACTTTGAATATAATGTTGATGCCGAAGATCAAGTTGAAGGTATGCATAGTATTTTTATTAAAGTTTTATAATCATTTATAATATCTAATAATTTGATTCTTTTTTACCTAACAAAACAGCTGAAGACTTACCTCTTTTTGGCATTGATTTCTTGTTTGATTCTGAAAGCGAAGATGAGGGTGTCATTGAAGCAACCATTTTGGATATTTCTGACAGTGAATCTGATGATGTTAGAGGTTAGTACAAAAAGCACATATAAATCAATAAAGTCAACAAGTATTGATTTTTTTTTTCAAATAGAGTACTTTTCTTCATCCAATATGCCAGTCGATTCTACTAATGCTTTCATTGCTTCTTTTGCTGCCTTCTTCATATCCAAATATGTTGTCAATTCTGGTGGTGCTGTTCTGTTGAAGTTTCTTAACAGAGTATTGGCACACTTTAGACAGTCTTTCCGTCTTCCCCTCAGTATAAATGGTGTCAACTCTATGACCAGTCTCAGCGACGTGACTCGAGGTGTCCAGCAGTTTGTTGCATGTGGCGATTGTAACAAAATATACAAAGAGTCTGATGTTGTTTCAGAGTGCTGTAATTTTGAGAGACTCTCTGGTAGAGAATGTGAAAATGCTCTTTTCTTTGCAACATCAAGAGCCTTGACTATTCCCAAAAAGATCTACATGTATAACTCTATAATCAAAACATTGTCTATCCTTTTTTGCCGCCCTGGATTCAAAAACACTATCAACCATTGGAGAATCAGAGTGAAAGTTCCAGGCATGATGTTTGACATTTACAACGGTACAAAGTGAAACAGTCTGAAGGATAGCAATGGTTTACCATTTGTGAATCATGAGTGCTCCATAATGCTTACCATGAACATCGATTGGTTTCAACCTTTTGATGGGGTCACTTACTCCTGTGGTGTGATATACCTTTGCATCAACAACTTGCCAAGATCGGAATGGTACAAGAAGGAGAATGTTGTTCTTGTTGGTCTCATGCCAGGGTCCAAGGAAGCAAAGACAAGTGAAATCAATCACTACCTCCGTCCCCTTGTCACAGAACTCAACCAGTTGTATGGCAGTGTGGTGATGTCTACTGTACAGTGCCTATCTGGTGCTCTTGTCCATGCTGCCCTTCTTCTTGTTGCCTGCAACATTCCTGCTGCCTGTAAGACTTGTGGGTTCACCTCTCATTCAAGCACATGTGCATGCAATAAGTGCAACTGACAGTTCCCTCGCCTTCCAGACTCCAATGCTGTGGACTACTCTGGGTTCGTGTTTTCTGAGTGGGTACCTCACACTGATGCCGAAAACTGCCGTGATGCCGAGTTGTGGAGAATGGCCAGCAGTGATGCACAGAGAAAGGGATTGTAGAGGGAAAATGGTGTCCGATGGTCAGAATTGCATGACCTGATTTACTTTAACCTCGTGGAGTGCACTGTCATCGATCCGATGCACAACCTGTACCTTGGAACAGCAAAGAGGATAATGGAGAAATGGAGATCTTCAGGTCTCATCACAGATGCACACTTGGCCGAAATGCAGTTGGATGCTGACAAGCTTGTACTGCCAGAGGACTACATGCCATTAGGGACAAAGATCGGGTGTGGCTTCCCATTCATGAAGGCCGACGAGTGGAAGTCTTGGTGCTTGGTGTACTCTCCTGTTATCCTGCATGGTCGTCTACCTGAAGCTCATCTCGGTAACTGGACAACGTTTGTCAATGCATGCCAGTACCTCTCAATGCCAAGCATATCCATGGCTCACCTTGATGAAGCCCATCAATCTTTGGAGGCTTTCTGCAGAGAGTGCGAGAAGTTGTATAAAGCCCCATTCCTTTCGCCAAACATGCATCTCCATCTTCATCTTCGAGAGACTGTACTGAACTTTGGCCCGGTTTATGGCTATTGGCTTTTTAGTTTCGAAAGATGCAATGGTATCTTGAAAAACTATGCAACAAATAGAAAAGACGGGTTTAAGGGAACCTATATGAAGAAGTATCTTGAAGAAGCATACCAGGGAGATCTTATTCACCAAACTTTGCCAATAATTTGACCTGAGCATTTGGCAATCATCCTTGAGCTCACTACATCCACTGCCAATTCCATAGCCACTTCCACTTCCACTGACACCTCAATCCAATTCAATATCAATGCTTTTCTTGATTCTCCTGAGATCAACTTTGATATTGTCAAGGGAAACAAGCCTTTGCCCCCTTCCGCACTTCCTTTAGCTCTAAAGGGGGAGATTTCCATGGATGAATCCGAGTATGAGCATTTGTTGGAATACTATCACAAGACATATAATGATCAAACTCTTGTTCATTATTGTCAGGCTGGTCATTCCAATAATTTTGTTAACAATCGGATACAGAAGTTTGAATCAATCAATCTTCTTGGGCAAATCTACAAGAGCAAAACGAAGAATCAGCATGGGTCGTTTATGCAAGCCTTGTTTGAGACAAGTGATGGTAGAAGTACCAAGTCATACGCGGGCCAAATTCAGTACCTCTTTGTCAATACTGCTGTAAACTCGTTTGCTGGTCATGCGAGCCAGCATGTATTTGCATATATATGATGGTACAAGGAAGTTTTACTTCAGCCCAGAGCAGGAGAAGGAGTTGAGGTGAATGAGGTGGGGTTCGAAGATGACAGCATGAACAGCATTCTCCCAGTGCATAGAATCTGCTATCCAGTTGCAGTAGGCAAGCACCTTGGTCTAGAAGGCAAAGTTCAGATGTGTGTAGTTCCTTTGCCACGAAAAATATATATTTAGATTCAAATACAAAAATAAAACACGTATAAAAAAGAAAAATTAATTAATACAGACTAATATATATAGCTGCACGTTTATTTTTTATTATTTCTATAAATTTTTGTTTGTACTTGACATGCTATACATGCATCTGTATACATCATGCTAATCCGTAAACATAAATAAATAGAAAAAAGACTCTAAAATAGTTGGCAAGAAAAAAATGATTTATTTTGAAAAGCACCAATCTGGTAAAGTGACTGCCAAATTCTCGGGAATGCTCACTTCTTTCTCATAAGGGATGCGCTTTTTCAAGCTTTTTGAATTTTTCTTCAAACGGATAACAGTAAGTTCATCAATAGTACTAATAAATGTCTGGAGCTGGTTTAAAGAATAAATAGTATTAATAAAGTATTATTATTTTCTTTAAAACATAAATAGATGTTTAACATTACCTCATCAGTTCTCCAGCTGGGACGATATGCCTGCACTTTGTTATTTCCATCCAACTCGCCATCAGACATCACGTCAATAGAAAGAATATTTCTGCAATCATATCGATTCATGCCCTCATGAATAGCCTCTGTGTATGTCTGGTACGTGATAATACGACGGTCAAGAAGCTACCAAAGAATATTGTATTAAAACATTAAATTAATAGTAAATTAACTTTATTTTAAAACTTATGGTCTTCTTTCTGTTGCATCTTCTTCCAGCTTTATTTCTAGCCATAATCTTCTCTGCTGAGGTCTGGAAGACTCGCACTTGATTTTGGTAGTGATTCTTTATTATATTCATAATGACACTCTTTGACACATTTGTGCAACATCTTTGAGGTCTCAGGTACTTGAAGAGAGCCAGTGCAAGTGTCTTGTTGTACTTGTTGCCATACGTGTCAGTCATTGACCATGCTGATCTATTATTATTCTCAGCAACTTTGAGCGGGTCTGTGCTAACAAAGTTCGGTTTCTTGATATAACTATTGATAAGTTGCTATAAAAACAGTATTAGATATATTAATCAGTAATGTTATTATTATCAATTTACTTACAGAAATCAAGGGATGATGTTTCGCTCCAAGGTCAAGATCATCATCCATGGAAGAAGAAGAATCCGCTGGTACAGCAGAAGGCATCACGGAATTTTGGCTGGTCATTGCCTTTTTTATTTCAGCATTTTCAGTCATGAGCTGAAGGACCGAGTTCTTCAAAAATTCATTTGTCTTGTTGGACAAATCCAGGCCATTCTTCAAATGAGTTATTGCATCAGTCACTCCTTTTGCATTTTCTTGCAAGGATTGCATCGACACATTGTTGGCTGCCAAAAAGGTAAGGAAGTGATCCATTGGGGTCACAGCGACTTGAACTTCAGGGGCTGTGTCAACTGCTACTTCTGGAGTTGGTGTATCAATTGGAGCAACAACACCTGCAATTGTGCTATTAAGAACAGCATTCATGCATAGGTTGGGTCGGCGGGGAGCAGTAGGAATACGCTTTGTCATTTTCTGTTAATAAAATAAATATTAATAATTTTCAACTAATATTGTACAATTCACTACACTTGTTATATCATATTTAAAATTCACATACTAGTAAAGAGGATAAGCGGTGCAGATTAACTCTCTACCTTTCATTTGATATTTAAGCACATCTCCCAACCGCTTGATCCACATTTAGACAACTTCTTTTCTAACTCAATGAGGCACAAAGTAGTATTTCAAGATGACGGTGGTCATCTTCTTTTGGAGTATTACTTTTTACAGCCCGCATTTTGTCAGGGTCAAACTGGATTTTAAGACAAGTCTTTTTTTTTCCTTTTTTTTTCTTTTAACAACATTTATTATTGATATTTTCTTTGTTTCTCTTTTGCTTATGTTTTTACAATTTCACTTACAATTTTCTTTCTTTCTTTTATAGCTCGATACCAAATATGTGTCTCTTTGTTTGACTATACTCTGTCTGATATATCAAGATAAGATATCATTATCTTACAGATCTTTGTTACTCATCATATTGTTTGTCTAGCCATTGCTACTCATTTCCATTGAGTCTCATCATCTCTTAATCGAACATGATGGTAAGTTTTTTTCTTAAAAAAAATTCAAATTATTCTTTTGTCTTCCTCATAGATATATATTTATTTTTATTATGATTTATTAGTTATGTCTAATATTATGCACGAAGATGTATAATCAGTAATATTTGGTAAGTTAACTACAATATATTTAATAAATACGCCTTTACTATGCACAATATTAATAATTATTCATTTTTAGAATGTATCTCTATTCAAAGACTACTGGTATTGTCTTGATAATTCTGAAGAACATGTTTATATCAATTTTATGTCAAGTCTTCTCCGCCTTGTAAGTATTTATGAAGAAATTTCAATTTAAATCATTTACTAATTCTTCTTTTCTATTAATCATTTTTTAATAGCATTCCCGCTATTAAAGTATGTATTCCATGTCTACTCCCGGAAGGCTTTAAATTATATATAGCGAGCAAGAAGTATTAGCGATTATAATAGCTATAGTATCAAAACTGTCGCGAAATTAGGATTTTTATCTAGAAAAGATTTTCCTATCAAATAAAACAAAATTGAACAAAAAATGTATAACCCAATGTTTTTCCAAAAAATAAATAAATAAAAGTAAAATAAATAAACAAACCAAAGAGGCTTGTTTATAAAAATCTACCCATGCTTTGTTTCTCTTTTCCATTGTAAAAAAACCTAGTTTCATCACTTTGAGCACGTATAAAAAACCAACTATCATCATTTCTTTATATTGTAAAAAACCTACAATCATCTCTTTGATAGTTTTTAAAGCATTTCTGCAGCCAATAAAAAAACCCGGTAAAAATAATAATATGGGACGCTAGCTCTTTATAGACCTCAAAATATAACACATAAAGAGGTAGACTCGATAGGAGTAAAGCGTAACTACAATATTTATTCAGTTTCCATAGTTTGCGGACTGACAATCGTTCTACATTGGGTTTTCGTGTACCCGTTGTTATGATGATACGCATCAGCACCATAGATGATATCGTACCATTGCTCAAAATGATATATCACAAAAATTGTGATGATATCGGCTCAATCATCTACATTTTTGGTACATTTGATCCAGATGAAATTACCCTATTTTTCCAGTGTATGTTGTTAAACTAATGATGACATAAAACTTGAATTAAAGAACAAATTATGTTTTCAATTAAATATATAAAGAAGTCTATATAGCCTCAGATTAGGTTTTCTCCCCTTTATTTGCATAAGCATTCTATTTATACAAATATTAATTAATATCTATTAGCTTTAATGTCTAAAAAATTAAACAGCTATTACAGTTTGAGGATAAAAAGTAACAAACTTTGGTTCACACTAATTACATAATTTTAAGTTCATGAGTTTAGTAAATTAACATGGACAATAAATGCAATATCACACATTTTTATTGTACATAGAAGCCTTAGATATGAAACATGAGACTGTATAAAATTACATATATGGTCAAATATTTTAAAAAAAATTATATAATGTGTTCAAAGTCCCTATTAAAGATCTCTAAAAAGAACACATGTAATAACTATGAAGGCTAGTATTAATAAAATACAAATCAGCAAAGTTGACAAAAGAAAGTAACTTGAGAAGAATTAACAGAAAAATATCTGCATCAAGTACAATTTGGTTGTCAAGATTGCTCGCATGCTCATTATAAATCTCAGTAGATTTCGAGAATTGCAGGGAATCTGTCTTCTGTTTTTTCAAATATAGGAATCAGGCATAATAATGTTAATACAAAGCAGATTTATACTCTTTGATTAAAAAAATCAATTAAGAAATATACATGTCTTCATCAATATCATAGTACTTAGAGAATAGTTTTTTTTTAGATAAAACAATGTAAAAATATTAAATAAATATAGATATATGGATATTATTTAATGAATATATAGCTTAAGCTGTTACTAAATATTATAAAATTTAGTATTTCTTCTTTGCATACTTTTTCATATTTAACTTGTATTATTTTGATCAATAAAAACCAAAAAAAAATCAATATAAAATATCATGTATTTATTGAACCAATCATAAAAAGAACACAAATACCTAAGAAGGTATAGATCTGCCATATTTAGAATATTTTATTGGCTTAGATGCAAAATAATAGATAATCTTATAAATTGTATTTAACAAAAAATAAAACTAATAGGCTAAAACAGGCATGCTATTAGTTATAAAAGTTACAAGTTCATAACTCGTTACGAGGTTGGTATGTTAAATACGGACTTTTAAAAAGCATAAGTTACAAACTCATAACTTGTTATGAGGTCGGAGATATAAATTGTGCCATTTCCTACAGTGTTGGTAGAATATGGTTTTTGGACTATTACTAAAAAATATGTTTTACTACTTGTTAATTTAACTAAATGCCCGGCTAGCTCAATCGGTAGAGCGTGAGACTCTTAATCTCAAGGTTGGGGGTTCGACCCCCCCGTTGGGCTTAACTTTTTTGTTTTTATGTTGTTGTTTCTGTGTCAGGTCTCGATCTTGCTAGACATTATTTTGATGAATCCATAAAATCTGAAGATGGTTAACCGTAGTATAACGACTCTTCTTCTATTTAAATATAATAGGAGTTCACATAGTTGTGGTCGGCTGATTTTTAATGATCGACCTCCTTAATTTTCTTTACTGTTTATAGTAGCTTCTGAAGTTGAAAACAAGAGTCACTCAAGGTTAGTTTCACATAATATTTGTATTTTATTAAAATACCCCTAATAAACTTTTATTGTTCTATCTATTTACAAACATGAATAACAGTAATAATAGTCAGTTCTAAGGCTTCAAAAAATGAACTTTACTGATTTTTTTAATAACAACCTTTTCTTTATCAGAGATGCCTAAAAAATAAGAGCAATATGCAGATGATATAAATAATTAAGTGCTTTAAGACTTCAGCAAAAAAGTAGACAAAAACTTGTCAGCTTAAAAAGATGTCGTCGATTAAATATTCTATAAAAGGAGCAATTTTTAGTACATCCCCTATCTTTTGCTGGGGATGCACTTAAATTTGTTGCCCATTTTGAGAATAATTTTTTTGCCTAAAATTGGAAAAAAAAAACGGTCGACCGACAAAAAAAATCAGTCGATCACAACTATATAAATGCCTAATATAATAGCTACTGAGGATAATGCGCAGTATTAGTCTAGAAAACTATATAAGACAATTCAATTCATATCAATAAAAAATATCTTTTATCTTCTCTTTGATTTTACGTATACTTCTTGATCTCTAGTGGGTTTGACCTTTTGACTTTGTTATAGTAAAAGGAAGACCAGCCCAGATCAGGAATGACAATCTGGTATTTCTTTTTGGGGATCTATATGGACATGCAAGAAAAATTAGGGTCAGACATGCAAAAAAGACCAAAAGGGAAAATTATACGTGACGTCACCTATAATTGGCCTTTGGGAGTGTTAATGACAAATTGAGCACTGATAAGACATGCAAAAGTGACCAAATTGAAGAATTAAACATTACATCACATATAATGAGTTTTGTTACACACATTTTTTTGGGGGGATCAGATAAATTACTCTTCAGATTGCCAATAAAATTGCTGCCCTTTTTTTACTATAACATCAGTGCATAATTTTTTGACATTTAACATGAACAACATGAACAACATTAATAATATCAATGACTTTGTCATTGTTAGCAAGATGTCAAAGAAGTACAATGCTGCCTTGACTGAATTCAACTCAATTTTTCTTGTTGGAAGAGAGTTCTCTTCAGTTGTAGCTGTTCGAGAAGCTGCCAAGGCATATGATGTCAAGCATAACATTGATCTCACTACTAAATATACATTAAGCTCCTGCATCAAATTGATTTGCAAGCATTCTGGCAAATATAGAGATATCAGAAAAGCCAAGAAGATTGCTTTCCAAACATCAGTTACTGGTGAAACTCTTCCTGGATGGAAGAGAAAGTGTGAAAAAGATACGCAAAAGCATGGTTGCCCATGCTTTATGTACACCAACACTACTAAGAAGGGAAAGTTGACTGTGTGCTCCCATGAGGCACAGCACAACCATGCAATTGAGAAATATTGTAGAGCATACACCATGCATCACAAACTCTTACCTGAGGCACTGACTCTTGTTGTCAACCATCTCAAAAACAATGACGATGTTTCCACTATTTTCTACAGTTTGAACATAAATGGATTCACCAACATCGTCCGACACAATATTGCAAACATAAAGCAACATTTTGGAAAGTCTGATGAAGGAAGGGAGATGTTTGATTTCATCACAACCCTTCAAGATCTTGACTTCTATGTCAGATACTCTGTTAATAACATGGAAGATAACCAAATAAATATGATCTTGTTTGTTCACCAAGATGCAATCAATGAAGCACAAAGAATGCCCAAGACTGTGATAATTGATGCCACTTACAAGACGAATAGTCATTGAATGATCTATGTCAACATTGTTGGTACCAGCAATGTGAGGGGAAACCCTTGCACAACATTAAAAACATTCCCAATTTCTAGTGCTTGGGTAGAACATGAGACAGAAAAAAACTATCTCTGGGTAATTACCTGTCTCCACAATGCAGTCTGGTCTGATGTCTATGACAACAACAACAATAACAACAACCAAACGCCTCTTCTCCCAAATATTTTCATCACAGACAATGAGAAAGCATTAAGAAATGCTATTACTCGAGTCTTTCCCAAGTCAAAGCAGTTGTTGTGCTATAAGCACATCAAAGACAATTTCAAGAAGCAATTGCTTCTGACAATGAAGGGAGATGAAAGTAGCAAAAAGAGAGACCTGCTGGATTCTTTGGCAGAGTTCCTTGACCAAATTGTATTGAAGTGTATTACACCTAAAGAGATAAAAAAAGAAACAAGCAGATATCTCGAATTTGCAAAAGAAAATTGCAAAGTGTTGTATTCAACATAATTGTAGATTCAAATAGAGCACACAGACAATAAGACAAAGACATATTGAATAAGCGACCAGTATCAATTATACATTATTTCTCACACTATCATTAAATAAAGAATATACCGATAATAAGGTCACATACCTTAGTCAACATCACTAATCACTCAAACAAGAGCGTGGGTAATAACTTAACAATATATTATCTATGATATAAGAAAACAGACATCACATGATATACTCATATCATTATTCTAAATACATATGCAATGTCTATATAAACTCATACAGCAAATAGCAATAGAAGATCATCTCTCTTTTCATCAATAAACAAAGTCTCACCGTACTTCTGTTATATATTAGGTAAAAATAAGATATAAAATAAAACAAGTGCAGACGAGAGTACGGTGAGACTTTGTTTTATTAGAAGAAGTGAAAAAATCAGAAAAGAGATGCTGTTCTATTGCTATTAGTATTGTGCGTTTATATAGACATTGTATTTAGCTTGGTGATGATATGATGATATCATGTAATGTCTGTTTCTCTACCATTATCTTCTATGATTTAGTTCTTATGTTTTTAGTGTTATTGACTAGAGTCTTAGTATTTGTCTTAGTATGTTCTTTACGTAATTTCCTTGTATAAGGGAAGGTATATCTTTTAGTATCGTTACTAGTTGTCGGTAACTCAATGTACGTATTTATTGAGTGACTGTACTTTTAATTTAAATCTACAATTATGTTGGATACAACAACTTCTCGTCTGCACTTTGTTTTTCTTTCTTTTCCAAAAATATAACACAAAGACCAGAGAAAAGTTGCCAGTGCTTTTCTTGAGAAGTACATATAAACTTTCTAAATCTGATGTAAACAGTCTATTTAACTATAAAAAATCTTTTTTTTTAATATACTTTAACAGAAAAATGAAAGACAAGGAAAACTGAATGAACATGTATGTTTACAAACATGCCCATTTTGGCAATCACATATCAAACTGTGCAGAAAGTGCCCATGCTTCTCTCAAGCATTCTCTTGGTACTTCCTCGGTTAAACTGAAGACAGTTACTCTTAAAGTAAAAAAGTTGTATGATAAGTTAGTAAGTTTATTCTATACTATTTTATACATTTATTGGTTATAATATATTTATAAGTTATACAGGTTGCAGATCGCAAGGGCTAATGGTAAAAAGCCTTGGAGAAGGAACAAAAATTGTATTCGATAAAGTCAATGCCACCAGACTAAATGACATTCATTTTAAAGTCTGTAGATTTGCAATGGATCAGATCAAATTGGAATTATCTAAGTCTATTATACCCAAAAAACTAGCCAAAGAGTGCAAATGCCTTATACAATACAACTACCTGCTTCCTTGTTAACACACACTCGCCAAATTTGATAAAATCCCAATCTTCTGCATCCCAAGATGCTGGAGAAAAAACTATCTAGAAGGAGAAAGTAATATATATATAATAATAGCAATTGTTGTGGGGAGAAAATAAAGCAAAATATAATATAGACGAAAGAATTCGTGAGAACTTGTGTAGGTTGTTTATTTCAAAAGAAAAGTAAAGAATGATAAAATTCGATTGTCTTTCTACACGGAACTATCTACTGATATTTATATGTTTTTCTAATTTGTAATTCAGTGTGTGCTTAAGTAATCTTTATCACGATGAGTCATATTCCAGGAGTATTGTTCTTCTGGAAAGATCCGGAAAGACCAATTAATATGATACTTCTCCAGTCAGATCAGTCCAAGAGTTTTGGTAAAGAAGAGCATTTATGCTATTGGTAATATTTTAGTATTCCGACCCAGATACTCGGGTAATGTTTCATAATATTAGATAGTTGTAGTTGTAGTCTCTCAATTAAGTATTTGTATAATAAAAGAAATATGTAGATGAAATATAATGATGCCATATATATAATGTATATGTATTTGTATATCCCATGTCATGGTGATAATAATAAATAATCAATTATGTGTATGATGATCTGTGTATTAGATAATATCATAAAGGGAGATCCGTTTGACTGGAATAGCTGAGGATATTATTTTATCCTTCAGTCTTACTCTCAGATTCAGCAGTAATCAATACTCATTCACAACAGCAATAATTACGTGACGATTTTCTCATATAACATTTTATTATGTAGACCATTTAACTATCCAAAATGCAACCACAGTACCCCCAAACATCAACAATATCAAACCAATAACCTCAGAATTCAACTATGCTCTTGAGCTTATTTGCAAACATTTTGCCAATGCTCAGAGCAAACAAGAGCAAATTAATATATATCAATTAATAGAAAGAACTTTGAAACAAATCGACGTACAGAAACTCAAAAATCTGAAGGGCCCAACAGTAGTTGAAGCCATTAAAGGCCAACCAAAAAATACCAAGCACAAAATGATTGCATTAGAACATTGCATCAATACCAAAAAAGAAAAAACCACAAAAAAATTAAAACAGAAAAAGAACAAAAAAGTAAGATTTTAATATTGTTTGCATTTAATTTACTGAATCTTTGCTTTGTTTTCTAGGCAAAAAAAATATCCTCCACTAAAGAGCAAAAAGCCATCAAAAATATTATCAACCTTGGGCTATCATGCGATCCCACATTACTAATCAACCTCACAATCGCACCAAAACATATATCGACAATCTTTTCTCCTGAAGCAAATGGAAATTGTGGGTACAGGGCGATAGCAATAGAAGTGTACCAGGACCAGGAGGAGTGGTCATAAGTAAAAGACAAAATGCCAGAAACATTTTTAAAGCAGCAACACAACTACTACCATAGAAGAATAGAGCATGGCAATATGCCTGCTTCCAATAACCCACTCATCTGCAGTCTCCAAGACAAGCGCTCACCTCTCCCCCAGCAACATTGGTTCGGTACAATCGACCATCCTCAACTTGTAGCCAATACATTTACACTGGGGGATTAGATTTCTACACATATGCGATAGTATGGGAAATTCTGAGTGACAGAATAATTAAATTCTGGAATTTGGCATTTATAGATTCCATTCGCAATATGTTATATTACCTGTGAGTTGTCTATGTAACTTCTGAACTTATAATAATCCATATAGAGATGTAAGGTTCTTTTAAACTATTTAATCGCAGAGAGAATAATCAAATTATGGCATTTTTTTTTGGATGTTACATTAAATTAAACTTGATTTGAAACAGAGATTCCAATAAAAAATCTATTTTTGATAGAAAACTGTCTACTGAAATAGTAGAATTCTATTGGATTACTTTACAGAGAAAACTGTCTACTGAAATAATGATATTCTATTGGATCATTTAACAGAAGAAACAGGATTTATGTATACTGTCTTCCGAATCTAAAGACTTTTATTGGACAATTATGCATGGCTAAACTATAGGAATCACACATGCCATACTACTGCAATACTTCTTGCACTTCATTTCAAATATTTTTATAGGAATTGTTTTGGAAAAATTGTTTTTATTAAAAAAAAAGCTTCTTGCTTATAATATGTATGGCTTGACAATATATAGTCTAATCTAATATATAGACTACTACATAATTAATATAATAACAAACTCTTTCATATATTATAATATATAAATATTTCCAATATGATAGAATCCTATAAATAAACATGTGTTTACGGTATTTCACTAGTAAGAGAAGGCTAAAAAATTATTCAATTATATTAGATTATATAAATATTTATTTTTCTTTAATTTAAATAGTATAGTTACTTACCAGTACTTTCGTCAGAACCAGGCATAGTGCACATTAACTGTTGTTCTGAAAGGTTTAACAAAACGCATTAGTAAAGATCATGGAATAAAGTTTGTTTATTACTTACCAAAGAAAACCGGTTTTCAAAGACAAGCCATTCAATCAGGTACATAGAAATGTTGGCAGTACTAACAGAGATAGAAAATAAACAAAATTAGATATAAGAATAAAATAAATAAATACATTATTCAGACTTACCGGATAAATTTCTGCTGCTGGTATGTCTTTATGATGAGCTGAGGAGTTAATGAGCTGAGGAGCTAATGAGCTGAGGAGCTAATGAGCTGAGGATAGAAAAAGAAAATAATTAATAAAGAAACACATACACAATAACCACATTTTACTTTTTTGTTCTTGTCTATTAATCAACACAGCAAAGACTTGTAATACTATCAGCAACCACAATAATAATAAAAGAAAAAACATTAAGAATAAATATAACAATAGAATAATACAAACAAATTGCTTACCAGGGTGTGAACTCAAATACATCAACCAGAATAAAAGTAAATAAAGTGGAAAAGAAACAGGAAAAAAATAAATAAGAAAAAAATAAAGAAAAAGAAGAAAAAAAAGTGGGCTTTCAAACAGAAGGCAGTTTAGATGAGAATTGACTCTAGTAATATACAATAGTAATAAAATGAATAGTCCAAAATTATATTGTAACACTAAGTTCTATGTTGAATATTAAAGAAGTTGTTCAAGATTATAAAGGATTTTATAAAAAATAATATATAATCCCTTTCTTTTCTCAGCTATTTCATAAATCTACTTTATATTAACTTATTTTGTATGTATATATTTGATTAAACAAAAATAAATATATTTCAACCCATACATTTATTTTATTTTAATAATTTATTAATCTATAAAACTTTAATAAAAATACAATAAAGAAAAATGCCTTCCAATAGCAGCAGAAAAACAGACCGTAAAGGAAAAGGAAAAGTATCTGCAAGTATATCTATCTCTGCAAACCGTGTTTTGACTGGCTGTGTTGGACCTCGAGAAATTGCCCCCAGTTTCTCATCTGCAACTATCCAAGATCAGCAATAGACGGAAATTGTTGAAATGTTTAACAAAGTAAACAACAGTATCAACAGTGTCAAGGATGACATTGCTGCTGTCAATAGCAACATGACAGCCTTTAAAAACAGGATGGGCGTTGTTGTTGACACGTCTGGAAAGACACATACGGCATTTGCAGACTTTGCAACTGCCTATGCCAATGATCAGACTCATATGGCTAGTCTAGGACCATCTCTGATACCATCCTATGTTCCCCAGACCTCCCTCAGTGATGCTGAGGTTTCTGTCATTATCTTGGTAATTAATATTAATATATGTTAGTATCAACAACTTATTAAACAACCTGTATTTAGAAAATCTTTGCAGAAAAGTTGTGGGACTGGAAGTTTGAGTCTGACGACCCTGCTGTTGTTGCTGAGAATAAGAGTAAGAAGAAGTAGAACTTGAACAAGAAGATTAACCACTGCGATAACATGGCTGTTATCAACTACTTGAAGAGCTACATTAGCGCCCAGACTCGTCTAGCTGGTACTCACCCACGGGTGATAAGTGATAAAATAAAGAACAGGTACAAGCACAGTCATCGTACTTTTCACGAGTCTCCTGAGCAGAAGGCCAAGAAAAACAGCAAGGGGAGAGCAAACAGTCGTACTCTTCAGGTTTGTATATACTATATAAAAAATTAATTGATATATTACTATTTTCTCAAGCTACAATCTATATAATCAGATGTCTATCTGACGCAAGTCGACATACATGGACAACTGGGTAGCCATTGATGCTGCAATGAGATATAAGACTGGAAACTCTGTTGAGAAGGCCTATCTCAAACTCTTTCAGAAGGATGCCATGTCTGATGGTGAGTCAGATATTGAGATTGTGGACAATCTTCCACGACGGTGTTTGCATGTGGCTTGCCCCACTTGGAGAAGTGAAGAAGTGAATAATATTTAGAATAAATAAATAAGTTTTATAACAAGAAAAATAAAGAACTAATAAAAATAAATACAGTTCAACAGATTGTTGACAATGGTTGATGACATTGATCGTACCCATCACGTGTCAAATGCGGGCATGGGAACAAAGCCAAGAATGAACAGATATCCAGCAACATTGTTGCCTTGCTCTGTTCCTGCCACCCTGTCCCAGTCATTGCCTCGTTAGGCAATCAACGATGAATAAACATTTTCTTTTTTACTATGTTCTGTTGTAGGGCCAAATAGTAATAATTGAAATTGAATTGATTAAAGGAAATAATAATAATAGAGGATAAATATATAAGTAAGTGTGTGTATGAGAATTAATAGTAAATTTTTTTTGGTAAAGGAATTGCAAGTTTTTTGTTGACGTTTTTTGTAGTTTTATAATCTACTATTGCAACTGTTAGGAGAATCCGATGTACTGGCAGGATGCTTTGAAAATCTTGCTTGTAGAATTCATCCTGTAACAACTCAACTCCTTCTAATTCTCTTGTTTTGTCCGAAGTGGATTTGAACCATTTGACAAATGCAAATACATGCTGACTACTATGGGGATTTCTGTATGTTAGAGAAGAAACAGTTGGCCTAAAATTGTGAACAAAAAGATACTGAATCTCTCCAATATACGCATGTTCCGACCCAGTTCGTTCAGTGAAATATGCTTGTATATATGATCCATGGTCATTCGTGCCAATGCACCCTTTGTAGCTTTGCCCAAGAAGATCAACAGACTTCACCATTTCGATCCAGTCATTGACGAAAGGTGAGTCATCAATTACATCTTTGCAATCTGAGATCTGTGGATTCTTGTACGCAGCTTGATAATATCCTACAAGACAATCATATTCATGTTTTGGCATAAATGATAATGGTCTTGTTTTCAATGGCAAGGCGGATGGTGGCAGGGGCTCGTTTCCACGAATTGTCATTGAAAGATTCTGTGAAGCTTCAAGATATTCGGAAATTGAGAAAGAGTGAGAGAGGTAGGTGTTGGTGTTGGTGTTGGTGTTGTTGTTGTTGTTGTTGTTGTTGGTGGTGAACTTATCGAAAATTTCAAAACATGCAAGTGCATCCATAGGTTTTAGAAGTTGACAAACAAAATCTCTCTTCCACGACTCTTCAATAAACTGTCTCATAAATGTTGATTCGAACCCGTTTCTTTGATTGGTCTTGATATTTTTCAGAGCACTATTGTACCTTTCAAAGCTGAAAAGCCAATAGCCATAGATGGGCCCAAAGTCAATCATTGTTTGGCATAAGTGCAGATGCAGGTGCATGTTGGGAGAGAGAAGGTCCAGATCGTACAATGTCTCACACCCTTTACAGAATTCTTCTAAGCATTTGTGTCATTTCTCAATGTCTTCTTTAGAAACACTAGGCTTGGTGAAGTATCTGCATGCGTTAACAAACTCTATCCAGTTCTTGAACTCTGGCAATGGCAACACATCCCTTAGAACCACAGGAGAGTACACAAGGCACCAAGACTTCCACTCATCAGCCTTCATATAGGGAAATCCCTTGGCAATCTTTGTCCCAAGTGATGTGTAATTGGGTGGCAACACTACCTTCTCAACAGCCTTTTGCATGGCAACGAGTTTTTTATTGTCAATTAATCCATTCGCAACCCATCTCCCCAGCATTCTTTTGGCAGTGCCTAATAAAAGATTGTGCATGGGATCGATGATTGTGCAGCGGACAATGTCAAAGTACTGAAGACGATGCAGTTCGGACCAGCGAACACTATGTGCAACTTCAAGATGCTGTCTCTCAGTTGGTTTGGTTGCATTTCTCCAGATCTCTGCATTCTTACAATTGTCATTCTTAGTGTGAAGGAGCCACTTTGAGAAATCGAATCCAGAATAATCAATGGAACTCGTTCCAGCCAACCTCAAAAATTGACACTTACACTTGTGGCATGCATTTGTACTTGTATGGGATGTGAACTCACATACGTTCCTTGCAGCAGGTATATCACAGGCAACCATGAGAAGGGCTGCTCAGATAGAAGTACCATTTGGACATTGGTGAGTCTTAATCTTAATACCTTTGTACAGCTCCATCAGCTCATCCACAAGCGGTTTCAGATAGTTATTTATGTCAGAAGTGCTCGCTTCTTTAGGCCCTGGTATTAACCCAACAAGAATCACATTCTCCTTCTTGAACCGCTTACTGCGTGGAAGATTATTGATTGCAAGATATATGGCACCACAGGAGTAGGTAACACCATCGAATGGCTGAAACCAGTCAATGTTCAGTGTGAGCATGAGTGATTGCTCGGTATCAACAAAAGGTATACCATCTACGTCTACTATCTCATTCCACATTGCACCATCATATACGTCAAACAAAGTGCTATCCATTTTTGGGCTGCGGTTCCATGAGTTGATCTTGCTTTCAAAATCTGGGCATTGAAAAAACGTCTTTAGGGCTTTCTTGACAGAGTGAAATGCATATGTCTTTTTGGGTGCTTTTGACCCGGGACCAGACTTAAGCAAGTGGTTGCTACACAAGGAGGTTTTACCAAAATTGGGTGATGTACAATGCAAAGGGGCAGCTTCATTATCATATATGGCATGGCATTTGCTATATGCAACATACTTCTTGACACCACTTGTTAACACTTCAAATCCGGCCAAACGTTTGAGGTCAGCAACACTCACAGGGAGGCGGAATGGGTCAAACAAAAACTGCAGGATCTTGTTGATTATGGCAATCAGGATTACAGCTCCTTCATCCACGACGTATAGCGAGACAAAAAGAGCAACTGAAATAACAATGAATCGGTGAATCAAATTCAATTCTGAGATTGATTCCAACAAAGAATCTTTAATTTGATTTTTTTAAAGAATGTTGATTAACTCTCTATTTTCTAGGATATAATATTATCTAAAGCTGTGTACCTACCTTCAGCATTGTCCATCTCAACATCGGATTCATCTTCATATTCTTCTTCTTCTTTGTAAGTGTCACTTGTATACTGGACATTATCTTCAGAACCAAACATGCAATCCGTTTCAGAGAAAGGTTAGTTTCTTGTCCACATATCCAAAATGTCATTTGTGTTATTTAGGTCTATAAAAGTGGAATGTTAGACCCAAATAAATCAATGTAATAAAATAAGTTTTCTTACTTCTAAGCTCAGAATTCATTTCAACATCTTCCTGTTCAAATTCAAAACTATCTTCCTCTTGATTTACAGGCTCAGAAACAGCACTACTAATTGTATCGCATGTGTCTTCATGGGCTACACATTTATTATTATTAGTGTTAGTATTATTATTATTATTATTATTATTATTATTATATAAAATAATAAAAAAGGAAATGATATAAAATAAAATAAAATAAAATAATAAAATAAAATAATAAAATAAAATAAAATAAAGTAAAGCAAATGTATTAACCATACGCGTTTGAACATGTGTAATATCATGATTATCCTTTTCTTGATGACATTTAAATGTTTTAACAGATACAAAATTGAATCCTAGTGTCTTACTTTTACAGATAGAGCATTGACACTCTTTTCTAACAGTTGGTTTGCGAATAGGAGCCATTTTAAAATGAAAAGAAAGGTTTACAATAGTATTTAATAGTAAAGAAAAAGACTTCAAAGAAAACACACTTTTATTTTATTTGAGTTTGATGTTGCATTCTAATGCTACACAGCTGCCAGTAGCCAATAGAGTAGCTTAAAATACTATTCAAATACTTTACTCACAAAAGTGAGCTGAGCTACAATTTTACCTATTCTGTCTATCAGAACTTAGGTATACTTTACATATGCAAAATTGATCTGTTTTTGCAGTGTTAGCAGAACAGTAACCATATATTAGAATACTCCAACTGAAACAGACGACTGTCTTTTCGTTCCATTTGCTACCTTGCCAGAAAAAGTGGAACCAATAATTATTATCTTAGATGTAAACTACTCTCTTCTTGCCAAGTGCAAACACACTCGAAATTTCTGCTGGCCAAATAGCAATCACTTTCATAAAAGAATAATCCAAAAGCATAGCCTTGAAGATTATTCTTTGATGTACTAACAATCAAGGTATAGCTTTTAAATTAGAATTATCTTGAACAATACTAACTTTTCCCATATATTTTTTTTAGATTCTTTTTTACTTTTTAGATTCTATATTTATCTCTATTATCAATATTCCCTTCTGTTTCTATTCAATTTATTATTATCTTTCTATTTATCTATGTTTCTATATTTATCTTCTTTACAATCTTCCATTTTTATCTTTATCTCTATCTCATTATCATTTTTATATTTTTACAATCAACATAATTTTGAAACATTTAACAAATATCAAGGCTGACCCCCAAAAAAATGCGTGTAACATGCAAAACTAATTATATGTGACGTCATGTCTAGTTCTTCAATTTGCTCACTTTTGCATGTCTTATTAGTGTTCAATTTGTTAGTAACACTCCCAAAAGTCAATTATAGGTGATATCATGTTTAATTCTTCAATTTGGTTGCTTTTGCATGACTTATCAGTGCTCAATTTGTCAGTAACACTCCCAAAGACTAATTATAGGTGACTTCACATTTAATTCTCCCTTTTGGTCTTTTTTTTTTGCATGTCCGACCATAATTTTTCTTGCATGTCCATATCATTGCCCTTCTTTTCTGGCACTTGTAACTAAGTTGCAGAATCAATACCACTGAGAATTGTTAAGTTTTTAAGGAGTTTTTAGATAAAAATAAAGATACTTTTTATTAAATATATTTCTTGACTATTTATACAAAATTATAATTGATTTCTGGCTAAAAGAATAGCTACAATAATATGTCTTAGATGCTTGTTGTCCAGTAATATCTCTACAAGTAAATTCCTCATCTCCAACATCTAAAACATAAACAAAAGACCAATTGGTGAAGTCAAGATCTTTTATCCTAAAAAGTCAACCATTACTGGTTGCTTGTAAATTCCAATTTTGGTTACCGATGTCAACTCTGACAGTCGCTCTCAAAAGAGAATTCTGTGTAATCGTCATTCTGATTGGCTGACAAGAATTCGGGCACAACAAAAATAATAGCCAACACTCTGACAACAGAGATAAACATGATTTCTGCCAGACTTGAACTGGCGACCGTCTGTGTGTTAGACAGACGTGATAACCAACTACACCAAGAAACCAGGATTGATTGTCATAGTTGTTTTTATATATCTACCAATTTTCATTTTTTTTAATTGACTTTTTTTTCAAATTGTTGGAATCATCATTGCAATCATCTTCACATCTGCGCCGAAATCACTCAAGATTGTCAGCATCTCCAACTACATCTCAATTGCCTGTACCTCTGTTATCGTCTCCAGTTCTTTTCTCCTTCTCTGAAGGTGGTTCTGGTGTTTTACCATCAACTTCGCACTTTTTTGTCCCAGTTTCAGACCTTTCTTTTTCTGCTTTGCCTGCTCCTGGTTCCCACGAATTTTTTTTTCAAGCTCCTCCAACAATGATTGGTTCCCAAAAACAGGTGATTAATTCCACTGGCCGCCCTACTCCCACTGCTCTCATTTTGTCTGGCCTCAAGGCAGACTTTAAAAAATTGCACAATGTTTTGTCCTGTTCACATTGCCAGACTACAGGCAAAATTGTTTCTAATGGGTCTACTTCTCGTACTGGTAGCCCACAGTTTAAATGCAAATGTGGTGCAACATTTACTGCTTCATCCATGCAATCTTTGATCAATGCAGTCCAACACAAAATTCCTGAAGTTCATTCTGCAAGTGAGCCTGTTGTGTCCCCTTCTGTTTCCATCTTGGGTCATAGTATTTCCATGGCAGATATCCATGAAATTGAATCTGACATTGCACCTGTTCTTCCAACTGTAATGCCCACTCTTCAGGATATTTGGGACCGTTTCCAGGCTTATGATGAACGTCTTTCTGCATTGGAGGCTGTTCAAAAAGAGAACATTGAGTTGTGTAAGGCTCTTGCTACTGCAAACGCCACTATTGCACGTTTGACAAAGGAGAATGTTGATTTTTCTGTTGGTGCTGCAGCATCCAAATATGCTACTATTGCTGCCTCTGTTCCAGTTGTTTCTCAGGCTGATTTTCCATCACTTCCTGCATCCCAGACCCATCATTCCACTGAACCCACCAAGACTTTCGTTTCTAAAACACCACGTAAAAGGGCTCCAACTGCTAGGGCCATTGCTGCTGTTGTTCGTGGCATGACAATTAAAGAAAATGCTGATCAGGGGTTTCAAATTGTTTATGTACCTAATGCTATCCATTTCCCCATTAGTACTCAACGTCAACGTCTTAGGAAATTAAAGATAGACAATGCACGTGTGCTGGATCTCCACTATCCTGATCGTAAGGTGATGGGAATGCTTGTACATAATGAGTATGCTCCTGAGCTCAAGACTATCCTGGCGAGTTATGGTGTTACTACTTTGGATAACTTTGATCCTCTGGACCCTGTTCACCTCCGTGACCCAGCTCTGGCCTCTCTTTCACTTGATGATAGGGCAACAAAAGCTATACATGTTCACAATGATCGTATGCTACGTGCCATTGAATTCATTAGGGCTCCTGTCAAGTTTGCTGTTGCACGTTCCTTTTGCTCTCAGGGATGGATTAGTGATGACCAACTAGCTGAGATTGTTCCCCCACGACCCACCAAAAAAGACTTGGACATCTCTATACATACTGCCAGCATCACCATCCCTTCATTCTCTGATCTATGAATCCAGTAACAATTACATTATGGAATGCAAATGGTCTTGCAAAACAGACCATACCTACGATCCTTTCATATGCTCCACTTACTTCCCTTCTTTTTATCACTGAAACGTGGCTTTTGTCCCCCCATCGTTATCCTACTTCTTGGCAGCAGTACCATACCTATGGTCAGTCTGTCCCCAATGCTAGCCGTGGCTGCATGGGTATTTCTCTTCTTGTAAATCCTTCTTTCCCTTACCCCATTTCTATTGTTCCTTCTTCTTCTCCTTATGTTCTTTCTTGTATTGTATTTGATTGTCTTATTCATTGCATTTATCTTCCCCCTTCTCTTTCTAATGACGATGCAATTTCTATTCTTTATGACCTCCCCCTCTCTTCTTCTTCTATTCCTTCTTCTAACACTATTTTTTGTGGTGATTTTAATTCACGTATGGGATCCTTTCTTGGTGACCATGCTATCACTTCGCGAGGAACTTCTTTTCTTCAGTGGATCCAGGCAACTGGTCTCACTTGTTGGAATGAATTACTTGCATTTGGTATTCCTACCTTTCTTTCTGGTGGCTCTGGTACCTCACGTTCCAGTGTCATTGATTTATTTCTTTCTACGCCCCCCCTTCTCAATCCTTCTATGCAAATTCGTTCTGATCTTTCTTTAGGCTCTGATCACAAAATGGTCAACCTCACTTTCACTCCCTATGTTTCACCTCCCCCTCCCCCTACTAATCATCCGCGCCTACTTTGGAATCTTTCTGGGCTTGCTCAGCCTGACACTCTCAAGATCTACATTGATACAGCTTCTGGGTCATTGGACAATCTGACAGAGCAGTTCAGTGCTTTCCTTTCTTCTTCTTCTCCTCCTCCTGTAGATTCTCTGTGCTCTGCTTTTGCTCAAGCTATCTATGATGCTCTGGACACTGCTGTTGGTCGTCGTACACCACGTACCATGCAAAAGTACTGGTTCTGGTCAGTGGACCTTCAAGAAGCAATGGATCTGAGAGAACGCAGCTACCAACGCTGGCGTCATTCTAGTGGTTTGCAGAAGGCTATATGCTGGATGCGCCATCAGGATGCATGTCATGCTGTTAGGTTATCAGTCCAGCGTTGTCGACATGAAACATGGAAAGAATTCTGCAACAAATTGGCAACACAAGACTTTGCAAAGACAACAGCAACAATGAAACGTATTAAAAGCCATCGTCAAACCAGTCCTGTCTTTGTGGATCCTGGTGGACCTCAAGTAGCTGCTAACAAAATGGCTGATCATCTTCAACAGATTTTCTCAGGTCAATTTCTTCCTGCACGCCGCCCTCCAGACCAGACAGTGATGATTTCATCACCAATTGCAATTGATGAATCATGTCCTTTTACTCATCTTTCTGTAGAGAGTGCAATTTTCAAGCTTCCTACACGCAAGACTCCTGGTGTTGACAATCTTCGTGCTGAAATGCTTCACCCAATTGTTAAGCAAGTCTCTCCTGTTCTTTGTCTTTTGTTCCAGCTTTGTTGGCAATGGGGTTCTGCACCTCTTGCATGGCGTACTGCACAAGTTGTCCCCATCTTTAAAAAGGGTGATACTCATGACCCTGCTAACTATCGTCCCATTAGCT